CTAGCACTATCCTCATAGTCTAGCACTATCCTCATAGTCTAGCACTATCCTCGTAGACTAGCATACGATTCTCAAACATTTTTGAACTCCATATCTTTATGAAATTTCTAGGGCTTTCTTCAAATATTTAGTAAAATTTGGTGGAGTAAAGTACATGCATTTAAAAGATATCTATTAAAATTCTAAAAAGAAAAAATTAAATATTCACAATTTTAACCACAAGAATTGGAGAACATTGAAATGTATCATACAATTGTGTTCTTGATATGATTATTATGAGGCTTCAGAAGTTCTAAGATATGACAAGTCAACTGATATAAATCAATGAGTACCATGAGAAATATCACCATCTACTTGTCGATGTTAGGGGAAAAATTAAGATTTTGGTATTTTGCGAGATATGTATTTCTGTGTTTATAATTGTGAGGTAAGAAGATCGCAAGCTTAAGATATCTCATATTCATTGAAACCATTAAACAAGGAACATAAATGAGCTATTGTTCCCCTTGCAAATTTCAACCCTCGCAAATACATTTTTAGAAGAACGGTCGCAAAATTAAATATTCAGGTAAATTTACCCCTTAGACCATAATGGACTCTTCCAGATGAATGTATGGTAGAGTCTACTAAAGTTACCTAGGGGTGAAAGGGTTAAATGTTATACAGTAAGTGTCTAGAATCTCGTTTGCCAATTATTGTTTAACAATAAGCTGTTCGCCATGTCTAGATATCGTTATGTATAATGACGTCTTGGTGTAAGTTTAGCATGTACCGGGATGTAAAATAAAACTTGACATGTTCACACAGGTACTACACGACACCTGGTCACCGCTCATGTCCATCAACAAACTCGCCAACATCATCATGCATGCTCCTATTGCGGTAAGTACTAGTTATCATACCGTAAATCCTTTAAGTACATTTTACTGTATATACGTAATGTTTATAGATTATCACACACTGTGTTTGAGGGTTTGTCATGAGAACAATTTTCTCATTGCGAGATAGTGGACCAAACTGAGAGGCCATCACAGGTGGACTTGAGGTTTGTTTGAATGCCACACCCTGAAAACATTGTATGATAAACTGTTTATCATCTATATACTACATGTACTACCTTATATATTTCTCCATCGGATCACCTTTGTGGGGATACTTTTTCTGGTTCAGGACTTCACCTGGCGCAAAATTTTAAAAAAAACAATTCCCGAATGGGAAAATTCGTTCTCAAATTGTTCTCAAGTCATTCTCGACTTCTTCTTTCTTATCTCATACTGACAATCCATGATAATGAATTTATCATATTATGGGTAGGTGGTATAAAATAGTATATCTAGATGATAATTGAAGAGTAATGTACAGTGAAAGCTGCGAAGGAACAACAAATATACAAGTCTTATTCGATAGATTTCATTAGCACAGCATAATAATGGATTAGAAAGGATGTCAGAATGCACAGGGGTCAGATTAGACAGGTTTCATTGTATATAGTAAAACTTGTCCTGATATTGCTTGTTTATTCTGATAAATTTCTTCAGAAGAAAATTTATTGTTTTTGAGATAGATTGTCATGCATATTTAAATGTAAATCTATCTCAAAAACAGTAAAATTTCTGTCAAATTTTAATATATTTGAGATATATTTAATTTATCAGTGAATATTTCTTTGTCTTTGCAGAACAACACCAACAGGCTGGCGCAGTCTTTCTGTGTTATTCCCCAGTCCACGACACATGTCCGAATCTCCTACCGCAGCATGTATCCTTTTTATACGCCCATAAAAACATTTGACAGGATGGATAATGAATGCAGGCTACTGGAGAGGGCAATCTGCAGACTGAATTTCCTAAACATGATATTTTGAGGGGTGCACGCAATATAACAGAGTGGGCAATACCCGGGAAATTGCAGTACTGAAGGAGAAGACTTATGGATATCTGTATGGTTAAAAAAGTATTTGAGCACGGTAACATACTTCTTAAGAAAAGTCCACACAAAACTGCCAGCATGAATACATTCTAGATTTTAATTTTTCTTCCAAAAATTTTACTGTGAAAAAAATATTATTAAATTCTTAGTCCTCATTCATTTATACGTAATGTGATCTAAGGAAAAAGTAATACAATCAGAAACTCTTTTCAAGTATCCTGCAATATCACTGACCTTAGTTGGTGTACCTTGTTGCTGTTGACCTTAACCTGTGTCAGAAGCTCAATAGACGTCCACTTCCGCAGCAACAAGATCGTAGCCATAGAGAGCAGTAAGGTGGTGGAGGGTTTTAACCCAATATCACTGTTAAAGGTGAGTCCTCTTGTCACAGCGGTGAAACATCTCATTGCTTGACATTGATTTGGGTCACAGTAGAAGTAGAAGAGACTCTTCAATGACTCTGAACTCTGTAGCACAAACCTCCTCAATGTGATAAGGGCACATGTTAAAATCATTTTTAGTACGTTATACTTGGTACATTCTCTTTATGTTGTATTACCCAGTATGTAAGTTTTGCAAAGGAAAATTAAATTGATGTATTCTGATTTTCATACTTGTGAACTTTCTGCAGGCATTTTTGAACATGTATGTGGACGATGCCATTATTGGCCGACACAATCGCCGGATGTCGACGACGGAAGACGACAGTCCTTCCTCACCAGTTGGTATGGATACCATGGATATGTTTAGTCTGTCGTCAGGGCCGTCGATGGGATCGCCTGCGTCGAGACAACGGCAGGACGGGGGACTCCGCTTCCCAAGCCCTATGACTCCTCCCTCCAACCCGCACACTCCAGCCTCACCCAGCGCTGCCCGTATGTCAGGGGTAGGTCATGGAGTTACACTGTTCATCAAAAAATAATCAATAATAAAAAAATAAGAAGGCAATGAAGAATTTAAAAAAAAAAATGAGCACTTAATTTTTTGCAGTTTTATAAAAAAAAATGCTATTATGAAAAGTGGGAAATATCACATAAATTACAAGTTTTTAATAACTTTGTAAAATGATAGAACTTTTCAATCCAAAATTTTATGTTACTGTTTTTTCCCCAATCTTTATAATGGATAGAATTGGCTAGTATTATATTGTTGATTGGGTAAATGGTTTTAATATACCTTTTTGTAGCATTCAGTCATGGAATGTCATTATTGAATCCAAAATCCAACGCTAATTTTAGCATCCAAGATGTTGCTCTATAATACAGTAGATAGATCGGTGTATGCATTAGTACTGATAATGATCGGGAAGATAATACAAATTTATTCTTAAAGCATAATTCTATGCCATTTTTTTTCCAGATCGCACCCTCACCATCTACAGCTTTGATTGGCACCCCCTCTCCAGGGACACTCCTTGGGGCGGGGTCCCCAGGCAACCCACAGCTCCATGTACCCTCCCCAAGCTCCTTTGTGCCGACTCCCTCCCCTGGGTCCCTAGGGATCCATATGCAGTCTCCCGCATCACAATTCATGGGATCTCAAGGTATGTATACAGTAGAAGTGGAATGAATAATAAATTTGCCATCATGGAGAATTGCTAGTTCAGCCACCATTTTTCCAGATAGGAGTTACAGAACATTGAAGTCGTAGGGTTTGACCATTTTGACAAATTTGAAAGATGATAATTGCGAAGCTTGTTTTGGAAAATTTGAGATACACTACTTATTTATCAGCATAGGTCTTGCAGTCATAGCTCTTTACTTTGTTAGGTTAAGGTTAAAGTTATTTCGTTATCTTGGAGTATTAGTTATGTATGCTTCTCACTGAAGTAGGCCACACTGGGACCGTTCAACAGTTGCAGCTCTTCTGATTTTGTGATAAAAGATTCCAGTATTTCTGCATTTTTTGGTCCAAAATATTCCTGAACCCTTTCACCACTGTAGACCAGAATGGATTCCTCCAGATAAATGTATGGTAGAGTCTACTAAAGTAACATAGGGGCAACCAATGTGACTGATACCCCCACTTTTCCATATTTCCTGGAAAGCATAGTCTCCGACAGGCCTGGAAAAAGAGTAATATACAAAACTTTAATTCAAGCATATGGATCAACAATTAACTATTCATACAAGTTAAAATGGGCATGCGATCTGGGACTAGAAGATGATGAGTATTGGTGGAAGAAAACTCACAAAGAGATTTTTAAACAAACAAATGATACAAAACTACGATTGCTGCAATATCGTCTGGTCCATCGAATTTTACCAACCAATATTTTTCTATTCAGAATTAAGGCGGTGGATTCTCCGCTATGTACATTCTGTAGGGAAGAAAAAGAAACCTATATACATTTATTTTATGAATGTTCAAGGATAATCAAACTTCGAAAGGAGTTAGAGAAGTGGTTTCTCGATAAAACCATGTTCAATTTTAGTATATCGCCAATATCGATACTGCTAGGGCTTCATGGTCGCCATAATGGTATGATTAATATGATGTCGCTGCTGTTTAAGCAATATGTCTATCACTGTAGAATTAAGAAAATTTATGTGTGTTTTGAAGTCTTAAAATCACACATATGTCAATACTATGAGGTAGAAAAGATTGTGTATAAATCAAGAAATGAATACACAAAATTCCTTACAAGGTGGGGAGGATGGCATGCTTTATCCGAAAGGGAGGAACAAAGTAAAATATAAACAAAGTCTTTGTCGGTATGGTAATGAATATTGCACTGATGATGGAAATTGGTCTTGCTGTATGTCTATTCGTCTAAGTGTACTTATCTATAGCAAAAGCTAAGCTAAAAATTAACTTTAATATGGGCGCTGCTAAAAAAACTTTGAAGAAACTAGGTGAACAAATTGCTTCAAAATGAACTTGCATATTTTATTCTGAAACTATTGTGTTTAGATCCAACTAAATGTTAATAAATATGTATATTTAAAAAAAAAATATCGGTGCAGAGTGTAATTTCTGATGTTCCCAAATTTAGCAGTGCTCATGTTGAACTCAAGCATGTATATAATCCTATGGGTATTGTAATGTAATGAATTGTTATGTAATGTAATGTTTTGTCTCTGGTCTTAATGTAATTGTTCACATGAAAATCAATGAAAAAATTAAAATGTAAAAAAAAAAGTAACATAGGGGTGAAAGGGTATGAATGATTTTACCTAACAGTTGTTTTTGTCTATCGTTTTTTATGCAGTAAGTATTTGATAGAAACTTCAAGAAATGGATGACATGTAATTGATGCAATGTTCCCCCAAGGGGGCAAGGGGGGGGGGGGGGTTAACCCCCTAAAATGTTAATTGTACCCCCCCAATTTTCAACGACTCGCATATCATAATTATGTAGCTATTGACACAGAGATGAAGTATCTTGAAAATCTTTCTAATGTACCCCCAAATGTAAAATTCATTTGGAACAGTGTATTTATGTTATTATTGTATTATTTTATTGTCAACAGGTATGGAAGGTTCGCCATTTGCCAGTTCTGGACTGGCCATGCCGTCACCAGGACAACGTAACTGGCCCAATTCACCGTCTGTGCCCGGCCCCTCGCCTGTGTCGCGTCATGGCACAGCCACATCCCCCGGACATCCAGCCCTCCACTCCCCCCAAACAATGAAGGATGGGGAACATAGTAAGCCAGGTGATAAGTTTCAAGACAATATTTCCCTTCCCTTATCAATATGTAAATACATATATTGTAAGATTAATGTGATACATGAGTGGATTCCTACTAATATCGTATGACCAATGTATTATTTCTGTTAATTCATTCACCCCTGAAAACACATTTAAACTCTTCCAATTCAAAGGTTGGAATAGTTCATTATGAAATTTCAGGGATGAATGAGTTAATATCATAGTTTCCTAAAACATTTTATTTTCTATATTTATGATAAAGTTTGGTTTATATCATGTTATTCATACTGTACCATGATCACAACCATTCCCTATCTAAGAAAACAATGCCAACTTCTTGTGCAGTTATCCTGTAGGTCCATTTTCATAGGTTCATGTCAAAAAAGGTTTCTCACTAGCCTAACTTTGCTATGTTATGACACGGGCTGACAAGGCCATGGATTGGTACCTGGTATTATGTATGATATACATGTACTGTTCTGGTATTTGAAGTTCAACTTCATTCTTAAAATGTTTTTGGATTGAAAAACAGTATTTCTGTTAGTCTCAAAATTCACTTTAATGTCATATTATACCATTTTACTTGTACAAATGCCATAATACATAAAAAGGAGCTGCTGATTCTCATCATTCAGATCAGTTGAGTTTCATAAACTGTATATAAATTGATGTGTAAAGTAATACATGTCATTATTTTGCTCGCACACATATTTACTTTCATTTCCTTGGTTCAGTTGAATGTGGTCTATATATAAATAGCTGTGTTATGTGTGATCTCCATATCAACTTTCATTTCCTTGGTTCAGTTGAATGTGGTCTATATATAAATAGCTGTGTTATGTGTGATCACCATATTAACTCTGGTTTCCTTGGCGACAGTGATGGGCCACCCTTCACGTGTATTTACACATCGTTCATGGGCAGCCTCCATCCCAACACTCCTATCCCACAATGCATTTGATACGTTGCTCACGCCTTTGGGGCCAGGCAAGGTCACGTCACCATTGGAGAGGTTCTTCGGCTGTGTGCTCTTCACCAGGAACCTGCCACGTATTATACAGAACGAGGAAAATGTGAGTTCATACTTCTTATTTCCAGTCCATGGTTTGGCCTCTAGGGCCCAGTTGTTGTAATGGTTGTTAGCTTTTCAGACTATTTGATTCAAATTTTAAAAATGTAATTTATACAATTATTTTCATGATTTTGTCATTATATGATCATTCAACTCCAAGATACCATCTTTGATACTCCAGGAGTTACGCTCACTTTCGCTCTCTGCACCCCTGGAATATGTCATAGTAAAATCGAAGGCTTAGTGTGTACCACCATGTGGATTGAGACGAGAACACTGGTCCGATCCTTTGATGTACATCAAAAGAATCTGTTGGTCGCATAACTGTAACATTGACAGGCTTTGAAGTCGGGTGTCGCTCCTCTGTAATCTTCAAAGAACAGGTAACAGCCTAGCAATTGGTTGTTTTGGGGTTTTTTACCCGATACCAATGAAATAGCTATCTGTGTGCCTTCAATTCTGCTTTGACATATTCCCGGGGTGCAGAGAGCGTAAGTGAGCACCTGGAGTATCGGGGATGTAAAAATTCCAGCGGTTTTTCGCTATAATTTTTTGTCATGAATTATTAAATTTTCCATTATATGCTAACAATACTTCAAACAACTAGACCAAGCTTTCAAATAGCATATAAAGCCACTTTTTATTTCCAAAAAATTCTGCAACATATTCTAAAGAAAAATAATCATTGATTGAAAAAAAACCTGAAGCATAAATTTCAACTAGGGAAATTGAATTATGGCCAAATTCAAAACCCTTAATGCCTATTTCTAAATAAGGAAATTTTAAAGATGATTAAAGTGAAGAAATGTTCTGTTTATGATATTTGACAAATTTTGCAATATTTGATAATTATTATGTTATTTCTTGAAAATGCATTCAAGAACAGGTATATAATCTCAAGCCTTGTGTTACAGCTGACTTTGGTCCGGTCATCAGATGCAAACGTAGTGATGTTTAAGGTGGAGAACCTCCAGTTCCGTGTGAGCTTCAATGCTACCACTCTTCAGAGTCTACATATGAATACTACAAACTTGACTGGTAGGTAACGCAGCTTTGAATGGCAAAATGTTCAAACTTCCTTTATAGATAAAGGCAAAGAAATCTCTTTGGCCTGTTTTGAATTCTGTCAATGTTCATCAAACATTTCAAACACTCATTCTTTCAATGTGAGTGCCAGTCTATGATATCTGGGTAAAGTATCACTAAAACCAATGTGATCAGTTCCCTGTGGGGTTTGTAGGATTGTAGAAGTTGTCCTGGTAAACAGATTTTTAAATCAGACCATTGGAGTTCTGAGTTACCATTAAAAACTAAGTATGCTCACGGTTGTAGACAATGGGATATTAAACAACATTAAATTGTTACAGACTCGAGAGATCCATTCCCAACTGAACTCATCAACATCCTGGAGCGATTCTTCGAAGTGAAGGTAAGCCTTACCTGACAATTTTCTCCTAGTGTTGTATAAATAGTTCTGTAATTACCATAACATCAATCAATTATGTTCCATGTCAATTTGATAGTCCCGAGTAGTCTCCCTGATCTTTGGTTGACTCCAGACATTTTCAACTTCTCTTGTCTTCACTTGGCTTTTTTAACCCATCCTCAAAATTCCAGGGTTTATGCTCACTTGAGTTCTCTGTACCCCTGGAATATGTCATGACAAATTAGAAGGCACATGATATGGTTAGCTATGAGATTGGTTCTAGGATAAAAAATACTGACCAATCGATCGCTAGGCTGATACAATATAGATTGCATAGGAGTGACACCTGACTTGAAAGTTAGTCAATTTTACCATTACGCTGCTGCACGATTCTTTTGATGTACATCGAAGTATCAAACTAATCTACTTGTATCATTCTAAAGGTGGCACATACAGAGCCTTCAATTTCGTCATGACATATTCTAGGGGGGCAGCAAAAGTAAAAGAGAGTAACCGCTGGAATATTGAGGATGGTTTCAGCCAAACTTGATTCTAATGATTCTGTCATGGCTCTTACAAGGGTGGTATTTTCTGGTCGAATTCGTAATGAAAATTGGCCAACATGGTTCCTAACAGGCCGAAATCTCTTGTGTAAAGTCTTCATGCAGCATAAGTTTCATGTTCGGTTTAAAAAATACAAAATTCATGCAGTGATGCACTTTTGATTAAATTTTGTAAGGTCTGTAGTGTTACGTGATTAAAAATGTATATTTTTGATTGACATTCAGAGATTTACATTCATACTGTATTTATCCTGCAATAAGCCCTCGAGGACCCGATACATAATCTCTCTGACCCAGAGTAAGAGTGTGAGCTTACTGTCACGGCAATCATACAGCACTTATTGTCTTTTTTAACTTACTGCAATAGATACCGAAGGGCTAATTTCCAGGCAAGGATCCGGACTTATTGCAGGGTAAATACAGTATCTTGTAAATAACACTGTTGCATTAACAGCCTTGTTTGCTACATACTATTTTGTATTTCAGTAATATAGTAACAAATCATGGCTATTTATCATAACCCAGTCGATTTTCACATTGATAGAGGTTATCAAATGATATAATTATCTAAAGGAGACTATTAATGATGCCAATTTAAATTGATAACAATGTGGATTCTTCAGGTTGCTACTCACCCGTACAAGGTTAACGCCCTTAGAGCGTTCTGTCGTTTACTGCCCCTGCCAAGCAGAATTCTGAAGGACTGCATACAGATCATGAGGCTTGAAATGGTAAGTTGTTGATAAAGAATTCTCAAATTTCAAGCACTGCATATTAAGATATATACTGATATGCACATTACATGTGTCACCCTGGTAAAATACTAGCCGCTTCTTACCAACTCGGCTAGGGATGATTTCTATTTAGCTTATTCGGTAGAGCGTAACACTAGTAAACCAGAGGTCCCCTGTTCAGCTCCTAACGGAGGCACTGAAAACATAATGACCTCAGTTACATTAGCGTCCATGTAGGGACCTGGGAGATATGACAAAGATACTAGTGACACTTGCAAAGGAATCACTATGACCCCTGGAAAACTCGGGAGGAGTTCTTTCCGGGAGAGGGAGTATGTCACCCTGGTAAAATACTAGCCGATTCCTACAAACTTGTAGTAAACCAGAAGTCCTGGTTTCGACTAGTACTCCAAGCGGAGGCACTGAACAAATAATTACCTGTTTTACACACTCAATATATCAATCAATCAGAGAAAATAATGTGGTTCCTGTTCCTTTCAGATGAATGAGACACGTAACACAAAGTGGACTGTAGCCTTCTGCCTGACGATTCCTCCTTCAGCGGCATCCATTGCGCCGGCCGGAGCGGCGGCCATCGCAGTGAAACAGAAGATGGTCCTGATGGTAAGACACACATGTTTCATAGGACTCCCCGATCTTCTTTGTAAATCCTTGCAGTTTAAATCAAGCAGGTTTAAAATTAGAACAGCCCTATTTTAACCGTTCTCAAATGGGTTTTTTTTGTCTTTGACATTTTCTGGAAAATTGGAAATCTCAGGAATCAGATATTTTTAGAACATAATTTGTATCCCGGTCTTATCCCTCCGTCTGATCGTTCTAAGGGTCAGTGATGGATGGTCAGCAGATTTATCAACACTTTTCTGTCCATCCACAGCTGCAGTTGACCAGGGCGGACGTCCAGCTTCCTCCGGGTGTGGAGCCACAGTCCATTATTGTCCAGTTGCTGTATGATTTCAATGCCAACACGGTTATACAGATGGAGGTTCCATCACGTAACCAGCCTGCACAACAACCCACACAGGCCCACATGGCTGTTTCAGCTTTCCTCAAGAAGATTGAGATGCATCAGACTACCAGTGAATGTGCCCTCTTCCCAACCGTACATAAACTCATGCAGGGGCTAGTGATACCAGGGTAGAATTGCCAGGGGGCTAGTGATACTGAGGTAGAGTTATCAAGGAGCTAGTAAGTCTGGGGCTACTGATGCTGCATTGTAACGCTGTATATATGTATGTAGTCACCTGCACTGCAGTCACAAATAACCTACTTTCCCGGTGATTACAATACCACACACACCAGAAGAACATTTATCATTCTGACAGACACCTCCACCTAAAGGTGTACCTACCATATCTACCCTGGAGACTGTGGTGTTCTGATCAACGTAACAGAGGAACGTCCTAACAACAATAACTGGAGTAGAGTTGTCAGGGGCTTGTGATACCAGGGTAGAATTGTCAGGGGGCTAGTGATACTGAGGTAGAGTTATCATGGAGCTAGTGAGTCATGGGCTAGTGTTACCAGGATAGTGTAAGTTCTTGAAATCAATTATTTGTGAGATTCTACTACTGGTCGGGAGAGTCTGTCAACAGCTTTCTTTTAAAAGGCTTTAACACCCGATTCATGGGTTTGTTTGATCAGTTTTCATTTTTGAATACTGGTAGTAATCTAGAAAATTGCACCGGTATGTGGAGCTCTGAAAATCAATGTGATCTTGACTTCAATTATCATTTTAAGTTGGTTGTACCAAAAGACTGGAAGGATGTGAGTCGTGATTTTTCTTCATCGAACGATACACACCACTGTTCTATTTCTGTGGTTGTTCCTAAAACAACCTATGTTGATTTGAATTCATGGTATTAGCAAAAGCAGATACAGATTATACTGTTTAAAGCATATTAGACTAAAGGTCAACAATATATTTGAGTTTGCAATCCGACTGATTTCCTAGGATTTCAAAGCTGCATTGACATTAATTTTAGCTGTTATACGTTAAAAACAGTTATATAGCATACTAACAGCATCCAAGAAGCAACCTGTCTTTTGATGTGTTAAAAAACCCCACCGCAACAGGCTGTAAACCAACGAATTCAATGACACATGTTTTTGTGGAATGTCAGACAGGTCTACATTCAAATCCAAGGGTTTTCAAATTTTACCTTGCCTCATGTGTACAATAAATATATGCATTTACATCAAAAATTATAATGAGAAATCTAAAAGGCATTAAAGATGACAGTGATTTTGGTAATTGCAGCAGCTTCATCACGTCTTAAATTTTTCAGTATTTTAGAATTTTCTTTCACTGTTGGTATTTATGGAACTAACTAGAAATATAAGCAGGACATATCAGATATATGTAGTGAAACATTCTGGAAAATCAGTGGAAACAATCGTTAAATTTCTCATAAAAAACATGAAAATGTACATATCCCTTGCATAGTACAAGTGCCAATAATTATGTATGCAATTATTGAGAGGTCACTTTTTTTTGTAATGATAGCATTGGATATCGGTGTTATTGATGACCGTTGTTGAATATTTATCATTATTGTTAGATGCTGTCCTCTGCGAGTTATCGTCATTACTACATAGAATCACCTTCTATTGGAGACAAAAATTTGATAATAACATAATTCAGGGTTTAGTGTTCATGTGCTAAAAATGCTAGGAAAAAAATAATGAAGACAAAACACTAAAACAGCTCAGCTAGTATCGCTAATTTCTAATCTTCCTGGTGGATTTGTTTTTGTCTCGCTGCCACGAAGTAGCGGAAGCGAGACCGAGATGTTGCTATTCCAGCGTCGGCGGCGTTTTTGTGTTTAAGTTAGTTTCTCTGAAGCTATAAGTGCTACACCAACCAATTACTTGGACCATAGATGCATCTTAGGTAGTACATCTCAACACATGCATCAAATGCTGGAAGCGGCCTACCTTTCATGGTCCATTGACTTTGTCAGCATCTCTATCAACATTAAGTTTTTGTATTTAAGTTACTTTCTCTGAAACTGTAAGTGCTAGACCAACCAAACTTTACATGGGCATTGATGTCAAAGCGGTGCACAGGCAAGATATCAATCCGAATGGCTTGTTTTATAAGAATTTTTTTCTTCCTTTTTCATGATGCTTTGGCGTTTTTTCATAATTGAAGTGACTTTGCTCCATGGTTCTGTGTAGTTGCTACTCTGCTATGTTAATGCTGTTGACAACAGCTTTAAGCTACCCAGTGATAAAATTAAGTACCAGTATCAACTCTACCTTTAGACCAACCAACAGGTATTTTACTGTGAAGTTTGAGTAATACTTGTTCCTTTAAGGTAGATAAATTAAGTCATACTACATGTAGGTCACTTAAATTTTCTACAGTGATTTAAACACATTGTTTTCAAAGATTTGAACTTAACAAATTTATTTTTTATACATGTAATGTTATACATTTGCTCTCCAGCATTAAATTATTGCAACAAGTAAACTTTTGGTGAATACTAGCTATTTTTAATGATTCAAATGACTTACTTGCACAAGTATGAATTCATTAAATGAATAGTAGCAGTAATTTATCACTAGCAATTAATTTTTTTTCGAATTAAGATTGAGATTCTTCCCGCACTAACATGAACATTATTTTTCTCAAAAATCATAGGTGATGTACAGTGTAAATTTGTTCAAATGTGTGACAGGAAATTTTAGATACTCTCGTCTCTTCTTGATACAAAGAAAATGTATGAGATGTACAGTATGAACCGGTATATACTTGTGTCAACAACAAATGAAGTTGATACGATATTTGTTACATGTGATGTGTCGCGTTTGGTGCACCAATTTTGTATTTTGTAAATAACTTTTTAATGAAATTACGAAAATGCGATGCCCATTACATAACAACTTGTATATATATACTTATTTGTTGTCATATGAGATGAGTTGAAAGACAATACTGAATCTCGTTCTTACGTCAATTTTGACGCTATTTCAGTATGAAGACTTTCTACATTTCAGGAAAAAAATAAATATGATGATGATTATCACTTATTATGGAAGTCCTTGTTATGTTTTTATATTGAACCTCTGTTAAGTACGCAAGGTAATAAAGCTGTGTCTTTTGTTTGGATTCCATTAACACCTTGCAATTTTCCAGACCGTTTTTTATACGACCGTCAAATTTGACGGTAGTATTATGGTATGGCATTGTCGGTCCGGCTCTCCGGCCATTCGTCCGGCGTAAACTTTGTTTGTCCGGCAATCTCCTCCTACATTTTTCGATCGATCTATTTGAAACTTGGTATACATTATAATCATGATATGAAGTTGTGTCTCCCTTAAAAGAATTTTGATTCGACAATTTTTCCAAAAGTTATTGCCCTTTGTACATTTAAGTATTTGATTTTTGTCCGGAGATCTCCTACATTTTTCGACTGATCTCTTCGAAACTTGGTATACATTATAATCATGATATGAAGTTGTGTCTCCCTTAAGAATTTTGATTCGATAAATTTTCCAAAAGTCATTGTCCAATTGTTGTCCGAAGATTTTCTCCTACATTTTTTATAGCACATCAGCTAACCACTCTTAGAACGATTCAGATCTTATTTTAATGAAAGAAAGTATGTAACACTATATGGCATTCAACGGTCGTATTTTGTTCCGCCCTGCGGTACTCTTATTTGAAAATGGTTAAACCTTTCTTCCGAGATATACCCCAGACCATGTGACTGACGTTCAGACAGGAGGACAGAGTGAAACCTAGTCTTTCGGTACTTCCGATGGGAGCTTATACAAATGTTTATAAGAAGACAAACAGTTCTGTCTTTTCACTCTAATATTACATGCCGATGGATTTCTTAAAATTTGTTACATAAATGGAGATGAACTGGTGATATCTAGGCTGTTTTCATTTAAACAGTTAAACCGGTCGGACCACAGTTGTTTGTTTATTAAATAAGGTCGGACCTAGTAATCCGATGCTGCTTTCAGGCAAGCCTTGCAAGGCCTGCATAAACATTTGCAAGTCCACCAGGATTAATACCCGAAATTATTACATTTATAAACCGACAAACCGGTTGTTCCGCATAAATAAACAGGCCCCTTGTTATCACTTGTCATCAAAATTTCACCAATTTCAGGGGGAAAACCAGTATATATTGGACATAATAGTTTTATTCTGTAAACAAAATCAATACACAAAAAGACAATTTTCATTTTGTACATGATATGGATTTTCCATGCCAGTGGCCATGAATACTCTCAATGACTAATATCAAACTTTTGAAAACAATTTCTAACAAATAAAATATAATATTACATACTGTGATAATGTCGGCCTTTTACAAAATAACAAATTCCGACAATATAGCAATACAAGCACATGGTAGCGGTTACAAAGTTCTTTAAAAATAACTTTTCTTTTAAAGACAATCGGATCTTGATACAAATTGTTACAATAACAGTTCAGATTTAATAGCTAGATATATACAAATATCTTAAATTCTGATGAATCTTCTGTTAAAATGTTCAATGCATTTTTCTTTCACATTTTCTATTACAAAATCTGAAGCAGCTACGGTAGATTTCATTTTTTGAAACAGTTTGTCCCTCTTTTCAGTAATAAATCAAGTTGACCGACAAGTATTACTACAGACCTGGTAAACCTAAACAGCATTTGGGGTTAGGTACTGTTAAGTTTTTATTATTTGAGGGGAATTTATTTTCACTATCATAGGTGTCAACCTCTGAATCCTTCAATAAGGGAGATCTCACTCATTCCACATTTCCAATGAGGGAAGTGTGTGAATCGCAACTGAAACTGCTTTGCTCAATTTATCTTTCCCTTTTAATGTATAAAAATCACGCCAAAAAGCATTCATTTGATTCAGACACACCTGTTATGATCATTACACACACCCTGCAGTAACTAGGGGATCATTTGACCACGGGATGTAATATTTTGAGTTTGAACTTGAATGAGGGAGTTTTCGAGGGAGGTTGGTAAATTTTGGTGAAAATGAGGGAGGGTTGACAGCTATGCTGACTATGGTTGCAGTCGATCATACATTGCATGAAATTAAATACCCAGCAAATATTATTATCATGACTTATAACTGCCATGATTTTATACAAGACTCCCATAAGCTGTATAGACCTATACAGATGTAGCCAGTGAACATGAAGTTTTGTGACTATTGGGCGAAATTTAACCCCCACAAAAGTGTTCCTATCGGGACAACCGCAAAATATTTAAACTATACAGCTAGTGCTTTTTAATGAGCTAAGACATATGGAAGCGATGTAGGAACAAAGACCTTTCTTTGGGCAGCAACTATAACGGTAACCAATTTGCTGTATTAAGCACACTTGGAGCATAAACAGAACACAATACATCTCCAGCACACACACAGGCATACACACATATGGAGATATGAGCCAGGGGGCATAGGACGAGTAGTTAGCGCCTGATAAGGCAGCTCCTGCGATTTCCTCAATATTGTATTGATTAATATATATGCTAATTGTATTGACTGTTTAAAATTGTATATATATGTACTGTAAAGCGCTTTAGAGTGGCTTATGTTAGCTAGATAGGGTGCTATATCAAATATTGTATATTTATTTATTTATTTATAAAATATGAAGTGTTAAGGGTCGATCATTAAAGATTTGAAACTAAAAAAAAGGTATTTGTGAAAATTAAAATATCAGATTTTGTAATAGTGGTAATATGATTTCATCAGTAAGAACTTCTCCATTACACTTAATTTTGTTATTATGCAGAGATATTTTTTCATGAAGAAAAAATAAAAAGGCGTTGCTAATACAGTAAATACGGTAGTGCTGTTATTTTCAAATATCACATACATTTTAGATTAAAACTGGAATGTTAAAACAAATTTCAAAGTCAATCTTCATCACAGATGCATTCATACATTAAGTATTTTATTAAGGATAACAATTGGAAAAGAGTTCAAGCTTTCAATAACTTTTAGCTTCATTGAAATTAAACTTGAACTTGACAAACTTGAATTCACATCGTTCACTAATACAGTTTAATGGGAAACTTTCGCCCTACGCTGGTAAAATCCATATTGGCCCTTCACTTGTGATTACTGTGTATCATGTTGCTTACTTTTTTGTTTGCTGTAATGTTAAATTTGCTCTCACTATGCAGGCAAAAAAAAGTGCACATTAAACTGCCATAAAAATGTTCCAGAATACCATAATAAAACATTAATTCATGTTTTAAATGCAATTTCACAGGTAAAAAAGGCTCACGTTAAACTGTGGCAAAAATTAAGGAATACCGTAATATACCATTAATTTATGTTTTTAATTCAATTTCACAGCTTTGATAACAAGCAGAACATGTTATTTTTCCTGTTAAAGATCACTGTATCAAGACTGTTGGATTTGTAGTACATTTAACATTGTAGATTTTCCATTCAGCAAACACTGCTAAATTAACACCTGCAAAAACTGCCAAGGATTACACAAATAAAGATATGTACTTAAGGATTTCGTTGATGTGATCTTTGATAACCAGAACTACCCTGCATTAAGATGTCATTGAGGCTTAAAAAACAGTTCAACCAAAAACACTTTTGAACATGCTTATAGGCAACAGAATATAAGTTAGTATTTAGGAAATATAAGAATCCAGCAGTTTTAAATTAAACAAAATTTTGATTTCAGATTTTATTACATTTAACCATAATATGTGTATTCACAATATGAATGACGTTTGCTGATCATGTTAAAATATGAAGATGTTTTTGGTGCTAATGGTTCTTATTAATCATAATCTCTTGCCTTAAGCATATATGTTATTTTGATGAAGGGATTTGTATGTTAATGTTTAATCTTTCTAAAAGAGTCCAAGGTAGAGAAACCAGGCAAATATAACCGATGAATGTCAACTAACTTGTAAGTGCCCCTTAAGGATCCCTGTCCAATTGCAGGCAAAACACTAGAGCGTTCCACTTAAGCTTTTCAAATATATAGTTACCTCCCCTTAATTTCATTTTGCATATTTAAGTAGCATGACTGGGCCAGGGTACTACCACTGACCAGGTAGCTCAACTGGACCACAGGACCTTTGATCTGAGGTCCAGTTCTCAAACTCTTATGTAACCCTGTCACATTTTTAACCTCAGAACACTGCTTGTTGATTCTTTCTTGTTTATTTTATCTTAATCAATTTTTTCATAAAAGTTCTTTTAACAGGTGAAGTTTTCTTCCCTGAAATGATTTATCAAAACTATCGCCATGCAGAAAGATATGTTTCCATTGCAAGATTACAGTTTTTGGCAGTGGTACGGGGATCCTCAATGATGCCAAAGTCTGAATGCACCTTTTTGGATTAAAAAAAATAAATACAAGGGAGACAACTCAAACACACATAATCACATGAAGAATGTGTAAGGTAAGATGAAACTGTAATTATCTATTATCTACAAAATTTACATACACAAAAACAAACAAAATTTGTTAACTTCGGTCTGAAGTAGATGCTACCAGAGGAACACTAAGGACATCTAAGGTAGCTCAAATCACATACAATACGAAACAAAACAATTTATGAAAGAGCATATACACAAACTTCATGTGTAACTATAGATAAACCTTCATATACAGGGATACATTTATATACTGATATACTTTATTGGTACAATTATTTACAAATATATAAAAACAAAAAAACTAATATGATACCTGTCTTTTTTTTTGGCTAAATCTACGGGGGTGCAAACAAGAGGCCCAATGGGCCTGTTCCACTCACCATTGAACCATGTTTTCTTTACTATAATCAAACTGTGACCTTGTTTATTGCAAAAAATTTCCCTGGGACAAATAGTTTACCACAGAAGATACTAGGAGCAAAATGTCAAAGATTGACAATTTGGGAACTTTGAAAATGTTTGAAAGTTTGTCTATTAAAAAATTATCTCCTTTTTCTTGAAAATTTTAGAGGGCTTATCATTGGTCACAGGCCAGAATTTTGCAAAAGTAAAAAACTTTACAAGAAACACACAGAAAATGCATTTTTTCATAAACTCAAGTTGATCCTTTTTGCAAGGTATAAACTACAAAAATATATGATGTTATTCCCCTGCATTATAATAATATTAGCTAATATACAATCTTAAAACAAATTTCACTGCCTCTTATTATTCGAATCGAAGCAGTACATTTCATTGGATATGTACCATGTGTCGTAAACAATTTCAGGAGGTACTAATGGTGACAGAGTTAAGTAGAAATTCTGCCTGGGGTTGTTTCCACTGTCCCCCATTACAGCATCGCTTACAGTCATGAAAGGAATGAAAAGCATATAACGAAGAATTGAAATACTGTATACCGGGAAATTTTCACCCTTTGCCAGAATAATCCATATTTGCCCAGTATCAATTTCGCCCTTCACATTTAATTACTATTTATATTATGTTGTTTACTTAAGTTCACTGTAATAATAAATCTGCACTCATTACGGTGGGTGAAAAAGGCGAAAGATAAACTGCAGCAAAAATTTCCCCGTATACAGTATTTGAAAAATACCTTGATTATGAATTACAAAACAAAAACGCATGATTTGAAAAAAACATTGTTTATCGTAAAAACAAACCAAGCTTATAGGCCACGAGAAAAGAATCTATCACAGACATTCATGAAAATTTGAATGAATAGGAATGAATGATATGGAAAATTCACAATCATTTGTGTGAAATGTGAATGAAAACCAATTGGTAAAATAATACACAAGAAATTTGCATTATCATTTTTCAACAGACTTGAGTGAAAACCCAATAAAAGTTTCAAAAATATTACTGTAAAATGTGAATACTGCAAACCTAAATTTGATAATAAAATATGTTTTGATACTGTGAAAGAAACAAACAATAAATCAGATTAATATGTGTGAGATACAATTCATTTTCAACCAATTTCAAAATTCTACAACATATAAACAACGAAATGCAAGATATTTACACAGAATTTGTAAACTTTCCGAGACCACATCCTGCACAAAGCAGTCACCTGTCCACAATGACCTGTTTTTCTCTTGCCCATCAACTAGTCGCTGTACACAGGTTTTACAGTACTGACTTCCTTGACGAATGTATTGGAAACAGTCAATTCATAAGACTGCCGGTCACTTACCACCTAATTGTCTGGCAAACCATCATCTGTATACAGTAAAACTTCATTATATAGGGGCATTATATAGGGGTTTGGTGATATATTTGGGAAACGTATTGTAAAGAAAAAAGGAAAGCGGGACATTAAAATATGTTGAAGGGAAACAGAATGACCCGACATGAGGGGCATTATATCAAGGTTTTACTGTATAATACATATTATAATGACAAAATTTACCTTGTGACTTGGAATAGTTGTTTAACACAGGTTTCATAGCATTCACTTACTCCTTAGACCACAACCTGTGTATAGCGACCATCTGTTCAAACAACTAGTGGTCACCTGTGTTCTGACCAGTCACTATATATACAGGTGTCCCATTATAACTCATAATAAGTTCATAATTGGGTGGTCGGGTGGCGCAGTGGATACCACACTTGCCTTTCACCAAGGCAGTCAGAGTTCTCCCCAATCAGACGTGAAAAAGCATGGGGTCACCTGCTTGACCACATGGGTTTTCTCTTGGTACTCATGTTTCCGCATTAGGACCTCCTTGAGTGCGTACAGTAACAATAATGTTGATTGAACAGATTTTAGTCGAGGAGTTAACGAGAGCAAATATGGCACAGGTTGTTGAACTGTGGCGAAAGTTACCTGGCAAACAGTAATCAATGCATATACTTGCTTTCGCATGTCATGTGGATATTTTTGAAATCATTTACTCAATGCAAAAAAAAGGTGAGCATTTCCAAATCAGGAAAATGTCCACTTTTACAGTAAACAATATCTATGCAGTCATTTTAAGAGGACTAACACTGGCGTCGAACCCATGCCTACCAGCGCTCAAAAGCTGTCCCAACTCTCAAGACATTGTAGCCAATGGTTGGATCCAGATCAACTTAAGACAAATGCATGAATCAGCTTTTTTTTTTTTTTTTAAATCAAAACAATTGTCACATATAGAATCACATTAATCAAATAGCAAATGAAAAACAAGTCCAGGCTTAGGTTTCCCTTAAGTTTAAGCTTAATTATTACCTGATAAAAAAAAAAAAAAAGCTGCATATTACAATGATGAAAAAATAGAAAAAATAAAAAATAAGTAAGAAAAAGTAAAAAAATTAATGAGATAAATGTACATTTTAAATTATTGTGTATACAAATGTTCATGTACTGGTCATAACTGCAGAAAATATCACACATTTCATTTTTCATCATTAAAAGTCTTGATGTAACATAACAAAATAATGTACTGTACTTGTTTTCGATGTACTTCAATACGACCTTGTCACAGAAATATCATCATGATCCCCAAAATATAAAATTTGAATTTAAGTGGCTTTTAAACCAAGGAAATGTTATGAGGTATATAATGAATTATATAATGCTGAAACATCTCCAAGGGAGATAACTCTAACACAAATTATAAGAAAAATCTGACAGGTAGTATTTGCCCTTTAATATGCAGAAACCCAGCACCTGAAATTTCTAATATTCAAAGTTCATAGTTTATATGGTGGCTACTGTTACATTTTATTCTTTCTCAATATATTCAGTATGAATAAAACGTCCAACTCAAATATACCATGATCCCTACCTCATCCAACCCCTGAGTATTCTTACACCCTGCATCCATAAGGGGGTCATAAGACAGGTTTTTCAGTATTTGCATTAAGATTATGTTGGTGAAACTTTAATTAATTCTCGACTACATTGATGTAGTCTGTTGCAATCTGTACACGTGTGTTTTCCTTCATAGCATAAATTGCAAATAGAACAAAAAATAAAAAAATAAATAAAGTCATGCTCATGATCAGTGACACCCAAAACAATTTGAGTGAATTTCATGGAGACTTTTGGAAAGCATGTCTACAGATCAGTTAATTCTCATAAACGAAAAAGAAAAATCTTGAAACTTTGCTTTAATTTTTTTTACAATTATTAAGTTTTTCAAAACAATGTTATTTAAGATGTCATAATGAAATGAATGCATCGATAATGCTGAGAAACAAATGGTGACTGCATTTCAAATTTCTTTGTAGAAATTTTATGGTAACTGTAATACATGAATTTATTCCGATTTGTTGCATATGGTAATTAAAATGAAGAACATAAGGGTTGTTTTTGATTGGTCGGCACGATGAGGTATTGGCAGCTGTTTTATGACTTTCTGTCTGCCATCTTTTCATTCTTTCTGAATCCTTTGTCTGAATACAGCTAAGGAAATATCGTTGTCAAAACCAAGTATTCCATGTTCATACTTGTTTGAAGGACAAATGTTTGAAGTGTCTTTCTAAAAATATCACAACTACTTGTGTCCCCTTGGCCTAGCAATAATCCAGACCAAATTTAATCAAAATTCCTTCAGCAGTTCTTGACTTGTAAAACTTTAAGAGTAAAATTTGATATCGGATGACGGACTGTGCACCATTGCATAAGCTCACTTAGATGGGCTAAACACAGAAGAAAAATCACAATAAAATTGAATATAAATATAACAGGAAAGAGAGTAGTGTGCTTCCACTGCATCTTTGCTAGCCAAGTGTTCGCAAGTGGAGTGTATACGAAGATGTTCCACCGGGGATCAACCTGCGATCCCAGACTTCTTAGTTGGATGCTCTACCACTGAGCTTAATCCTTTCACCCCTATGTAACTTTAGTAGACTCTACCATGCATTGATCTAGATGAGTCCATTATGGTCTACAGTGGTGAAAGGGTTAAGGGAAATTCCCTTTTAAGCGCAGAGCTAGAAGGCGACCGAAATCCTAAGTACAATTAAAATCTGCCAGATAAAGAAACTGTACCTAATCTAACGGTAAACTAGGAAATGTTCAACCCTGTGTTACTTTCATCGTTGATTTCACATGGGCTGTAATTCTATGACATAGAGTGAGTAGCTTTATAATGACAAAAGATAAATTTTGCAGTCGATTCATTCAAATATCAGCCGGTAGAAATCTTACAGATCACACACAGTATTTTATAAATGAAATATCTCAACTTGTTCTAATCATATAGCAACTTTATAAAAGAAGTTTAAGCTTGTTTCATAAGAATCATTCGGAAGTGGAAAAGAGTTTGATAGTCTATTTATCACTACTTAAGGGGCAATTTACTTGGCAAATTATCATAATAGACGTTTTAAAATAATTTTACACGTTACTTATAAACAAAATATGTTGCAGCATTATTTAAGTGCATAACAACCTATGATTTTGTTCTAAAAAGGATACATTGATGAGCTAATGGCGTGGAGCTGCAAAAGAGAAAAACACAACCCTGATCAAAAAATAATTACACATGTATATAATACATTTTATAATAAATATATTATTAATACAATCAATTGAGATAAACAATTTGAGGTAGATAATTACATAAGTTTTACATTAAAATATATATGTAAATAAAATTGAAAAGCCTCAAAGTCTGAGTGATCTGATTATTTCCGTTTTTTGGGTTTTTTTTTTGTTAACTGAACACTACATGAGCAAACAAAATATTTGAATAGGCACAGTGCCAATATGTCCTAACACCATTTTAATATCGTACCTGGTCTATAAGTTTGCCCATTTTGTCATTACTTGCTGTCTTTCCTTCTTCTGTGTCCCTCCTACAGTGAAACAAGAGGTACTTGTGTTATTATGGAATCAACTGATCTTTTCATACAGACAAGATCAACTAATCAGGATCTTCAAATTTATAAATTTTCATACAACATGCAGAAAATTATGAAATGTTCTATTAAGATCAAGGTAAATTATAAAAAGTTCCATTAAGATCAGGGTAAGATACAATATACTGTATAATGGTTTGGTTTGTTTGTGTTTTACATTCTATTAACAGCTATGGTCATTTAAGGGCATGCCAGGTTTTGGTGGTGGAGGGGAATTCCAGGGGAAAAACCACTGACCTACAGCCAGTACCTGGCGACTGCCCCACGTAGGCCTTAAACCTGCGACCCAGAGGTGGAGGGCTAGTGGTAGCAGAATGCCAGACGCCGTATCCACTTGGCCACCGCGGCCCCATAATGGGTAATTGACGCAGGCTTAAAGTTTTGCAATTTTGGCCCAAAATTAGAAAATTAAATTTATATGGATTATAATTTCCTGACTGGACACTCAGCATATAAAGTTTCAAATAGTCAAATGAATACCCCTTAATTTTGACAGCATATTGAGCACTGCAAGTAAGTGTATTTTGTTAAACTTGTCCTCAACAAAACTATTAGATTGTGATGTAACATATTTTCAAACATAATTACTCTTTATTCTGCAGATCATATTTTAGAGATCACATCTTTGACCCGTGAAATTACGAAAATATAATCCTCGCGGAAATATCCTTCTGTACAGTATTCCATTAAAAATTAACTTTAAACTAGACGTGACCATCAAATGCTATTAAATATAAAGTTAATAGATTACAGTTAATATCACTCTGAATGAGTCGATGTCCATGAGCTCTTTTTTTTCAAATGGATTGTTTTCATATTCATATATTTACATTCTGTATGCTTAGACCCATTGACAAAAATTACATTCATAAATGCATAACACAGGTGTTCATAGAATCTCAGCACGTGGGAACTGATAGTAACCTGATCACACTGCGTAGTAATACACTACAAAAACTACTCACTCGGAACGACCGACCTAGATGCTTAATTCTTACATCTTAAAATATTATTGAACTGTGCTTTGTGAAATATCCACGTATTCACGTGTCCTGTGCTACAAATAAACATTGAATATGGAACTACATTTTGTTGTGTTATTGTTGTTGACGGTTGCTAAGATCTCTCACGATAGTGTCACATTTCCCCGCGAAAAAACACTGTTCTCGCCACTGCGTTGCACCCGTGTATAAGCAGGAACAAACCCTGTTTATTTGTTTTATTCGTTGTTATATCGATCCACTGAAAGGATTCGTCAATGTAAATATAAGGAATGATATTTATTTTTTCAACATTTATGAGGTCATAACAACAATGGGTTTTTGGACATATTTTACATGAATCGCTAACGCGATTCATTCAATATGTCCATAAACCCATTGTTGTTATGACCTCATAAATGTTGAAAAAATAAAAATCATTCCTTAAGTCATACAAAGCAGAAAGGCATATGGTGGCTACACCCTAACTAAAATGTTAAAAAGATTTTCAAACGAAAATTTATTTCTATATGATCTCTGACACTAAATCGTAGGCTCTACAAATACCGGTGCATGTCCTGAAGTAGTTCCATCTCAAAATGCAGCCTGGCCAGTCTCTCCTGTTGTTCCCTGATGTGGTCCATCTTCTCAAACGTCATACTGCCACCTAATAAAACAATGTCATTTTGACACTTTAGCACAAAAAAAATCAAACTTTCACCTAGGATTTCCTTACCCTACATTGTCACAAACATATACAGGTTACGTTATAGGACAATTATACAGATACAAAGCCATTGGGTTTCATTGTCAGAAATCATTATTTATTAAATCACAGCAGTCATACTGCCATGCATACAATATTACATTGACATTTCAACACAACAAAAAATCATATTGCCACCTAAACATGATATTTCACTAACCATAAATACAAATTCTTTTGATCTGATGATAATGAGGTCATATTACAACAGGGAGGGTGCTTAAGACAGCTCTTTCTCTGAACAAATATCTTACACAACAGAAATCATACTGCCACCTAAACATGAGATTTCACTATGCAAAATAAAACAAATTCTGATGATCTGATGACGTCATATTCCGTCTTTTCGTATTGCAGAGTTATCTGCTCTTGTGAGCAGGTATTGATTGTTACGTCGTTTGTTTGTGAGAGCAACATCATAATTTTTTTGAGAAAACGACGTAATTTTCTCACACAAACAATCAATACCTGTTTACAAGAACAGATAACTCTGCAATACAAAAAGACGGAATTACAACAGGGAAGGTGCTTGAGACAGCTTTTTCTCTGACCAAATATCTTGCTTTTAAATCATTTCAAGAATAAATATAACATTATAAACAGGAATGAAATGTTTCTTATAGCTTTAGCTTTCACTCCAACTTAAAAATGCTTTGTGTGAAATTGTCCTATGCTCCATACATTTGTAATCTTGATGAATTAAAGTCTTCCTACAAATAACATTATTGAATTTTAAAATGGTGTTGACCAGTTTAATAACCTTTACAACCCAATCAATCAAATTTTTCATTCAAAACTATAACATGTGTAAACGTTATTTAAAATAATTTATTCCAAACCCTTCAACACGCCCCACCCAACCCTTCCCTTTTCCCCTTGCTAGCCATGCGACTTTGTCTTATCTGTACCAAATGCCTGGAGTTTTCCCGAATGGAAGTCTTCCAGGAGCTGAAGGAGGCCTTGCTCCATGGTCCGCACATCGGCTACATCCGTAAGGAAGGAATGTTCATTACATGGACGGCTACTACCCACTGCTGGCTTATCTCCCTTTAACACACCTGTACGATAAATAATTATAACCTGGTGATACATGTACATTGTATATGGGGTACTGTAAAAGGTTTTAGAGTGATTTATTCCAGCTAGATAGGGCCCTATATCAAATGTTGTAAATAATTATTTGTTTAGTACAACGCAAGGAGATGGGTTTGAAATCATGAATCACTCTTCTGAAAGCTCCATAATCCATAATCCATAATCGACTCACAATCATAACGACTAAAATCGAAAATGAATAATGAATTCTGTAGTCGATTAACCAGTCTATTGGCTTAACAGACCATTAGTCGACAAAGTTATGTAGTGCTATTTTTACAGTATAAGAGCAATTGATTAATTAATTTTAAAGATTAAAATACCATTTAAGTTTTAACTTGATTTCAAACATGGCCCTAAAATCCATGCTTGAAGTCACTTGATCCTAAAAAACTAAACAATCTAACAAACACATCTTCTGTTACCTTGTTTTGAAGTATTGCTCTCAGCACTGGACTGGATACTGACAGGATAGGTTTCGCTCTTCATCATCCGAGATGCCATGCTGAATGTGGATGCACGCTACTTTTGTGTCATTCTTTTATTAGACCTGGGTGAAAAAAGACGGATAAGTGTAACAAAATGTTCTCTTTCCAGGAGGAATCCAGCTCATTTGACCTAAATCCTGTTCTCACTACAAGTAGTTTCACCCTAAATCCAGTTTGCCCACATATAAATGTTAATTTCTAAGTTATAGATATCAGTTTAAACATGTTGCTAGTGAATAAAAACTTTTTGTTTTTAAGTTTCACAAAATTTGTCGTAAAGTGTGTGTTGTGTGGATATCTGGTTAACCGGAAAAAGACTAAGAAAGACTAAGGAAAACTTAAAATGAGTCTGCATTAATCATACTCTACTAAAAAGACTACAAAAAGTTTTGCTCTGAACATTTTTTAATCAGGCGACAAAATCTAGCATGAAACAAGTTAAGGCAAACGGAATTTTGGATGAAATTACCTGACCCTGTCCAGAATTAACTTGGCCTAGCACAGATTTGTTTAACCATTTCATTCTATAAAATGCGCTTTTTGAAACACAGACCTACAACAAGCAGAACATGTTACAACCTCAAGCAAAATGAAGCAAGCACCACAAACATAAGGAGGCAGGTAGTGTAACTTTGAGCAAGAATGTTAATAGGAGTTTGACACTATATCAATATAACATTCCAGATTAAAAGTATCCTCTATAATTTTTCTGTGTTGTTGTTGTTTTTTACTTTTCCCCTCTATCTGGACTATTATATTGTACATTGTACTGATATAATGTCAAACTCCTGTGAAATGGCTGAATGTCTCTAATATCAAATCTCAAGTCTCGAAAAAATCCCTTTCCATGTATATAATTTATATCCTCCTCTGACAATAATCTTCAAATTGTTGAAATTTGTCAGTATCCTTTAGACTAATAGCATCAGGTGACCAGTTTATAAGACTTAACTGGTAAATTTGCCAAATGAACACATTGACATAATATATCAATATAACTGTAACAGGAAAGGAACAAGAGGCCCAGACGGCCTGTATCGCTCACCTGTTTCTTTTGTTACATGAAACTGACATATAGGTAACTTCAGACCAAATTTGGTAACTAGAACACAAGACATTTTAACATCTCTTAAACGGTTCTGACGGTTCTGAAGATATTGTTGTTTGAAACTTAAAATTTTAATTTTAAAGCTTTTAACCAAAGTTGACATTTGAATCCCGATTTGCACTTAAAGTTGACCTTTGACCTCATTACTGTAATGAAGAAAACAATTCACACAGCTGGTCTTACATAACAAACCTAAGTATCATGACTAGTCCAAATGGTTCTTAGGATATTGTTGTTTGAAGTTTTTAACATATTTGACCCATGTGACCTTGAAAGTAGGTCAAGGTAATTTTAATGAGGAAAATTTATAGCACTCCACCCCAGGTACCTACTTGCTAAATATCATGACCCTGGGCCTAATGGAACTTGAGAAGAAGACTGTTAAAGCTTTTAACCAAAGTTTAAATTTGACCCCAAACTAGCACTTAAAGTTGACCTTTGACCTCATAACTGTAACTGATAAAAAATGTTTGCACTGCTGGTTTACATAAAATACCCAAGTATCATAACCCTAGTTCAAATGGTTCTTAGGATATTGTTGTTTGAAATTTTTAACATATGTAACATATTTAACCGCTGTGACCTTGAAAGTAGGTCAAGGTCATTTTAATGAGGAAACTTTATAGCACTCCATCCCAGGTACCTACTGGCAAAATATCATGACCCTGGGCCTTATGGAACTTGAGAAGAAGATTGTTAAAGCTTTTAACCAAGTTGACATTTGACCCCTGACTAGCATTTAAAGTAGACCTTTGACCTCATAACTAGTGTAATTGAAAAAAAAAATTCGCACTGCTGGTCTACACAACATACCCAAGTATCATGACTCTAGTTCAAATGGTTCTTAGGATATTGCTGTTCGAAATATTTAACATATTTATACTCTGTGACCTTGAAAGTAGGTCAAGGTCATTTTAATGAGGAAACTTTATAGCACTCCATCCCAGGTAGCTACTGACCAAATAGGTCCTAGGTCCTACAGTTCTTCAGAAGAAGTCGTTCAAAAGAAAAAGTTGACGGACGGACGACGGACGCCGCAGTACAGCATAAGCTCACATGGCCCTAAAAATGCACGACCAGACAAGGGCTCGAACCTGGGACCTGTTAAACTCTAGACAGATGCTCTACCAATTGAGCTATCTGGTCGCCGCAATCGACCCAGTCCAGTTCCGCTTCATTCCTCCCTCCTTTATAAAGTCTTCGACCCCGACAACAGACAAGACGGCGTGTCTAATTACCCAATACTACCCAATACCACCCAATACTAACACATACGACCCAGTTATGAACCAAATACTTATTTATTACTGTGAAATATCACCTTTGTAGACGTTATTTTCTTCCATCTGCCATATTTTATCGGGAAATTTGCGATTTGGTGCCGAAAACATCACCGAATTGCCGTGACTATGACCCAATATGGCAGATGGAAGGAAATAACGTCAAGAAATGTGATATTTCACAGTAATAAAGAAGTATTTGGTTCATAACTGGGTCATATGGGTGAGTATTGGGTGGTATGAGGTCATAGTCACGGCAATTCGTTGATGTTTTCGGCACCAAATCGCATATTTCCCGATAAAATATGGCAGATGGAAGTAAATAACGTCTACAAAGGTGATATTTCACAGTAATAAAGAAGTATTTGGTTCATAACTGGGTGGTATTGGGTAGTATTGGGAAGTATTGGGTAATTAGACGCGCCCAGACAAGACCCTATATACCACCTTCTGTGGGTATATTTCGTTAGGCGCCAAATATAACAGGAGAGGAAAAATGAACGACCAGACCCGGGTTCAAACCCGGGACCTTCCGAACTCTAGACAGATGCTCTACAAATTGAGCTTTCTGGTCACCGACGATCGATCCAGTCCAGTTCTGCTACATAACATTCTGCATTAAAGCCATTTTGGTCTCTGTGGAGTATAACATATAGATAGATACAAACACCTTAACTTACCTGGTAAGGTGAATTTGCCAAGTAAACAAAAGTAGAGCAAAATTAAACAGCAACATGCTTTACATTTGTTTATCAACAATGATTTGTCTTAGATATACTTACTTTTACCAAAAATAAACAGATTTAACTTATTTAAGTTATTATGATGATGGCACCGCCTGTAAAATAGCCAGACAAACAAGACCCGATGACAGTCACACGAGTTTGTTAAGCAGACAATGATGGGATGTTGCATATGAAAATAATACATCAATTTTACTTTTCTCATGTACATTTCTATTGTTTTCTAATTTCTAAAGCTACTTTTCCTCATTTTGCTTTTTTTTTTGCTTAATTTCTTTCAACATCCTCGCAGACGTTAACTTAGTATTTACTTTAACTAACCAATAAAAAGCGAGATAAAAAAAACTTCCGTTATGAGCGGAGCGCAGTTATTCGCAAGATGTATAACTTAGTAGGACATTGAAACAGGAGGGGGGTACAGACACAGGTCACTGTTAAATCTTGAGTCAGAGGAAACTCTGACTAGTCGACCCCATGTCATTACCTCTCAATTATTATTATGACTAACGAAATTTGCTAATACAAACCTTATGAAATGAGTTTTAACAAAAGGAAATAGGCCTATACACGACCCAAGACGGATTCCAAAAGTTTTCAATCTTGACAGATGCGAAGAGGAAAGCGAAGAGGAAACAGAAGGGAAGCCACTCTCTCCGATTGCATTGGGTGTGACTATAAAGCGGAACATATCTGCCAGATTAGAACGGAACGAAATTGAATTTTCATTTTAACAACAGGCACATTGTGCCGGGGGTCAGGAAAATACATTAATGAATTCGAAATATCATTTACATGTTGTCTATTTACAGGGGAAATATATAAGGAGAAACTGGTTACTAAACTTTTGACATAAGACGGAATTAAATAGTCATTGTTTATTAACCAAAGAAATTTTAAATGCTTACTTTTGTAAATCTTGATCGCGACTGGTCTCATAACTCTCATACGATATTGTGAATCACGATTTTTTTCGACCATTTCAAAAACACATCAATTATTCATGTCTTATAGCCAATAAATATGTAACACCATTCCATAATCACTTGTTGACGTCACTAAGGGACATATATGCCAAAAAAATACATATTTGTGCATTAATTTAAAAATACTATAACATAATCAAGGGCCTGTTTGTTTATGTGGAACAACCGGGTGGTTGCCTGTATCTAAATGTGTAACAATGCTAGATATTGAATTTTTGTATCAATCATGGCGGGCCTACAGATGTTTATATATATGCAGGCTTGTAAGGCTTTCCTGAAAGTAGTATCAGCTTACTAAATCTAAATATATAAAAATAAATGCAACAATTATGAAACAACTTATTTCAACTTATATTAATCCTTCTTTTTGGCACGGATGTTAGCGCGCGGGGAGTCTTACTGTGGGAGGAACCAGAGTACCCGCGGTAAACCTACGTGCTCGGGCAGATGACCCTAAACCTTTCCGTTCGGAGAATCGGAACCCGGCCGCCTTGGTGAAAGGCAAATGCGCTTTCTACTGCACCACCCGACCACCCAATCAGATTACTAGGTCCAACCTTAAATTATAGACGAACAACGCTGGTCAAACCGGCTCAACCGTTTGGAAAGCGGCCCAAATGTTAGTACATAAAGTATGTACAGTATTTGCAATTATATAGCAGTCAACTCATTATGTAAAAATACATAAATAATTCTAATTGTGATTTTGTATTTTATAACTGTACTTTTGCTTTAAACAATATTTTGCAGTTAATTTCCCCAAAGTTCATTTATATTATTTCATGCTTAAATTGTTTTACCGTCATTTCGTTCACATCTTGCGGTGGGAGTTCTCTGTGTGAACAAATCTTTTCCTAGATTTAACCGCAAATACTCTTTCTATATCTTACAGTTATGGCCTCGTGTGTTGAAACTTTCTTTAATTGCAAATAAGCCTGTTACTTCTTTGTAATATTTTAAAGACTATTTTCTCGATGCCTGCGTATCGTTAAGCTAACCAGGCTTTTACCAGAGAGGCCATTTGTAATTTTTTCGATAGTAGTTTGTAATCGGTGTTTTGATTGGTCTAATCAGCAAAGGTGAAAAATATAAATTTTATAGACTGAATGATTTTCAATATTTCACTGGTAAAGATGTAAGAAATACTTAATCATCTATAATGACTCAAATATATTTTTCTGGTTCTACGGATTGTAATGGTGGTCCAGGGTGCAGTTGAATCTAACGATGTTTGTATTTCCCACGCGCATCGTTTTACATTTGTCCAGGTGGAAAATGAACATATATCCTGCTATATAGAACTACACAATTTTGTTCATTAATTATTTCTCTGAAAGCTTTTGTGGTGTCAGAGAAATGATAAATCGTCAGTATCCGTTCCCGCGCTTGTGTAGCGTCGATCGTCGGCGACCAGGTAGTTCAATTGACAGAAAGTCCATCTAGAATTCGGAAGGTTCCGGGTTCGAACCCCGGTCTGGCCGTTACATTTTCTCTTTCTCGTGTTACAAAATTGACGAGCTTGCCAACCCTTATTTCAAGCATTGGGAGTAGGCATAGCAAGGGGATACCTGAATTCGGGTTGTAAAGAGTTGTGTCTTCGCGGGCGAAGACTTAGAAAAAGGTGGGAGATATTGATAGAGCGTCCGTCTAGAGTTTGGAAGGTCCCGGGTTCGAACCCCGGTCTGGTCGTTACCTTTTCTCTTTCTCCTGTTACACTTGTTACAGTTGGCATTATCATTTATGTATACTAAAAAAAGAAGTGGCCCTAGCACTCATCCGTGTGGAATACCACTTATTACGGGAATCCATTGGGACTTTTCCCAATTCACAACGACTCTTTCTTTCCTTCAAAGCAAGAAAGCTTTTATCTAAGAGGCAAAATATTCAGTAAACCCGTAATTCGCCAGTTTTTTTTCTTTTTTACGGAATCGCAGTATATTTCATTAAGGCATCCATCTTCATCTAAAATATCTTTCAATTCATCCATGACTTTGTAGTACCGTTGATCTGCCATATATAAGTCCAAATTGAGCTTTACTTAAGAGATTGTTTTTTTCTCATATAGGCTATATGACTCATCAATGATTGTTATTTCTAGTTTTTTACAACCAACGCTAGTCATACTACTACTACTACTACTAATAATAATAATAATATTTATTCGGTAAAAGCAAGATACAGGTACAAATATCTCATATGATCACAGATTTCAATTGCATAATAATCACAGATTTATCACAGTATTTAGCTTATCACATCAAAGTTAATATCACAAATTTTGGAGCACTATAATTACAATGTATCTGTTTGACTAAGCTTTAACCTAGGATATCCCATGAAAGCTGGGTGGCAGCTTATTTCCAATGGGGTCCTCTAGTATAGATCTTAATTACTTAGATAACAAAAGGTCCTAAGGATTTGACCTTATAATATGAATATAAGATGGTATAATTTCTCGTAATAATATATATATGAATAGAATAAGTTGTAATTGGTCAAATATGATGATGATNAGTTAATATCACAAATTTTGGAGCACTATAATTACAATGTATCTGTTTGACTAAGCTTTAACCTAGGATATCCCATGAAAGCTGGGTGGCAGCTTATTTCCAATGGGGTCCTCAAGTACTAACTGGCCTATAGTTCGAAGCCTCCTTCCGGTCTCATTTCTTGAAAATTGCCGATGTATTTTCACATTTCCTGTCTTCGAGTAATTTCCCAGTATCAATAGATGTTTGATATATTAATGATAACGGACTGCTACAGTGTAATATCGGGAGTCTCTTTTAGAACTCTGGCAGAGATCATATCCGGTCCTGGAGATTTTGAAATTTTTAAGTTTTTCAACTTCTTCTGTACAGCTTCCGGAACCTTTTGAAGACCAGTGGTTTGATCAACACTGATATTTTTTCTAATTCTGGCAGTATTTTGCGAAAACTGTCGGATGAATTATTCGAGTACCAGTTATATATATATGGGTTTTTTCACGGTGCGTATGGGTTAACGTGATATCCTCCTTTTTTAACATAAATATACATTATGAATATTGGCATCTTATGGTTGCTTTCGATTTGATAAATTTCAAAGCAGCTCTAAACTTTGCCACTATGATCAGAGACGTGTATATTACATAAATGTATGCGTTCTGCTATGATCAAGTCAGTTCTGGTTTCCAATCTGGTCGTTAGTAGCTCCCTTTTATTAACGAGCACCGAGTTACGGGTTACTCCCCTTTTGAACCCGCTCTTCATAAATTACAACTATTGATCTGACAGGATGAAGTTTTACGCCTTACTTATTGCAATTTTTACTATAGAATCAGTATTTACAGAGGTAAGTTCTAACCGTTCACTCATTTGCACAAGACTACGGTGTATTTTGAATTGATAAACGGAGCAGTACTGTAGGCCTAAATTATTGTATGTCACAAAATATCAGAAGCTGCCCTTCCCCCGTTCCTACATCATGTCAAATGTCCTGTCAACTTCCCCATACTTTGCTTCTATATTTGTTTGTCAAATGCCACCTGTAAGTTTAACTGTTAGCACGACCCTTTTAGTAAATAATGTGGTAAAATATAAAGATAAAGAATTACGACTAAAGTAAATGAACAGACAGTGATCTTTACGAGCAGAATGTTCTTGGAATAGAAATCGACCTTCAGGACATCATTTGTAGCAGTTATAGACTAGGAACTTATTGCGTGGTTTAAAAAAAAACCACATACACTATAGTATACATACTGGTCTGTGGGTTTTATTACAATGCGTGAAGTGGCCCACATGATTTACCTATATATACAGCAAATAAAATATAAATGGAAAATACTGGCAAGCTGGCTTTTAATTTCCAGAGATGTATATAATGGGCAGTATTGGGCATTTAGACTCGCCCGTAAAACCTTGGGATGTGCTTACTACTTCAACAACGTTGAGCATGGTCAATGACTGGATGGTTGGTCATGACCACTGCTCGTTACGTTGATGGCAGAATAGTGACCCTGTGATATAATGTAAGGCCAGTTCTGGCACTGACTTAGATAACAATCTAATTCCGTGGTTCTGGTTAGGGAATCGAAGGTGCATTGGTACACAGGGAGGACTAAAAAAATCCTCAGTCCAAGTCGCTGGGCAAGACCTTCTCACAGGGGTAAATAGTCTAGCAGCTAAGGAATTAATTTATGAGGAGATGCGCCTTACTTGCAGGCTAGCTTTTCCAGCGATGTGGTAATACCCTGGAAAGTACTACTAGTTCAGCAATGTCGAGCGTGGTGATCAGAGGCTGGATGGGTGACTGCTCACATGTTACACATTTACCCTACTTTTAACCTGCAACCATAAGAAGAAAAGCAATATCAAAACAATCGCACCTCTACTAGTTAAGTACTAGCTGATAAACACCCCTGACAGGATTTCATGATGGCACTCTAAGTACTGTAAATGTACTTATTTTGACACACTAAAATTTCAACATTTTACAAAGATTTTTTAAATTTAGCGCATTGATGAATGGACATATGCCTCCAATATATTCAGTTGAAATCTTTATACTATTACAGAAACCTCAATTAGTGCAATTTTAATTTAGCGCAATATCTAAAGCGCGGTAAGCACTAAAATTAGAATACTTGTAAAATATATACATTTAGGCCAAACAAAATATACAGTCTGTTTAGGATTGCATTGGCAAAAAAACTAGGTTAGGTAGGTGGGATATTCTTTTTTTTTGTTTGTATATTTTTGGTCATGTGATTATGACCCTACTATTGTATGTAAAACAAAGAATTACATAAACAAGGTTCATTTGGAGGCAAGTTGTGCTCCATATGATGACATTTTTTTTTTTTCATCAAAAAGTTTTGGGTCGGTCGGGAACCCTAAACAGACACCTTTTTATTTTTGGCCTTACAGTATGTCATTACAATATCACATGGGTAAGCATCAACATCGTCCATTGTGATGTCATTATTCATGGCATTTGTTTCCTGGTCTGAAACAGGAAACTTGTATTTTCAAGAGAACCCCTCCACCCCCCAAAAACCTATTGATGGCTATCACATTTGTCTTGTTATCATAATTAGTTATGTAAAAGATGCCCAGTAAACATCTTGTCTTTATACAATTTGAATATTGACTAATTCAAGTCGGATAAATATGATTACCAACTGGCACTTTTTGTGGAATCTCTTTGTAGCTGTAGTTAAAGCATAAAGGGTTTTTATAAAATAAGTGAGAAAAAAATGGCACATTCATCGACTAAGGTACCGTAGGTTAACATTGTAAGGGTTTAACTTGTAAGCTTAACTTAACTATTCATGTGTTATAAAGCACCCTTAGAGTAAGTTTGCAAATTATATAGGGTGCTACATAAATGTTTTATATTATAATTATTGTAAGCTATATTTGGAACCTAACATCTTAAAACTGTTGTCTAGTTTGTTTATAAATTAATGAGGCCAATCATTATGTATACAATAATTGAAATGTTGTTTATTTACAGAAGGTCCCAAGCGCTCCACCCACCCTACAACAGACAAGCTTCGAGGACAAGAGATGCAAGTGTGTGTGTCCGAAGCTTGTCTCCAATGTCACGAAAAACGACCAGAGTGTTTACATCAAAGATATACTTGATCCTGAGGACTGGTAAATATGCACACCTTTACTGAAAGATTCCAAAACAATAAGTAAACCCTTAAAGCTAGATAACCCTTAGAGTAGAGATAAAAAAAAAAATAGTACTGTTAGTGTATCGCAATACAGGGGAACAAAACAATTTGAAACAGCACATAAGACAGTATCAGAATACGATATGGTATGAAATATTGTTGCAGCGCTGGGCCCGTATTCCTGAAACCGTTCTTTTTGTTTTTGTGCTCAAACCAATTTTCTTGTAACTCACTTAAATCATGTCAAACGATCAAAACGTCAAATGTAAACATTGAAAACATTACTTGGCTTGAAGAATTTTTATTTTTTTCCCCAAAATATTAACAAAATAACATTTTATTAATAATTTATAAACAAAACAAAAAATTAGGCTAAAGCACACAATCATTGCTTGAGCATGAGAACGGTTTCATGAATACAGGCCCTGCTCTTGGGACAGGATGGTAATTGCATTAGTTCCCTGTTTTTCTTTTCAGTAAATGCAAACATGTGGTGACCAATGCTACAGATGAACTGTGTGTTCAGTGCGAGTGTAAATACGAGGAGCGCAACACAACTACAATTAAGGTATTTTGATTGCTATCCTCTTCACTATAGTTAAAGTGATGATCTCCTCAGGCCATTTTTGTGTAGCACTATTGAATATTAAAAATTGGACTCCTAACGGAGTGGGAGAGAATCAACGTCCCGGTTGTCTATGGTTGTAGGTAGGTAGTTGTAGGAATCAAAGATGGATACCCAACTATATTCAATAGAGCCCCATCACGGAAAGTAAGTACTAAGGATATAAACGAGGCTCCATTGTTTATATCCTATACTATTGAATATTGTAACACATGGATTTTGCATCGCTACACTATCCATTATCTGGATTGTCTGGAAAACCTCTTCATATTGAAGAGGGTTTACTATTGTCTGGTTATTCCAAAGTAAATCTGTGTTAAGAACCCTTGGGAGTTTTGTGTTAATTAAGATATATACCACGGCTGCTACAATATGTATATATATATAGGATAGAAATGTCTGACCCGAGGGTACATAACTTGGGTCCAAAACCCAGGCTTTGTCAAGGTTTTTGAACCCACATTATGTACCGAAGTGTTGGACATTTTCTATTCTAAATGATTCACATGTGATATATTTATTTTCTTACATTGATTACCAATTTATTTGATCAAGATGTGTAGCTGCCACATTGTAGCAAGTGTATCCGCCATCTTATGGCAAGATACTAACTTCTTTATTGTACTGAACCAATTTTGAAATTATCTAGTTCCTATGATGAGAAATATTTGATTTACAAAGAAAAAAATAGTAAAAGGAAAACGCTGTTTATTTCAGTGAATATTTTAGCTAGAAATATTATGTGAATAAGTGAGTCCAACACTTCAAGTTACAGGTTCTGGAATTGAAATCTACTTTGTCAATTAAAATCACGGATTTTTTTCTCCATTATTGCCTCTTAAGAAATAACTTTTCAATGTGAAGTGAAAAAAACATCATTTTCAACAATAACTTTAAACAAAAAATATTTCAGAGCCTCCAATTCAGTTTATACACTTGTGGAGGGAATAATTGTGCTGAAATTTAACTGTAATTAATTTTTCCTCTCCAGGTTGTAGTGATCTTCATCATTTGTGTGGTCTCGTTGCTGTTTGTATACATGCTGTTCCTGTTGTGTCTGGATCCGCTGATCGCACGACGTCCCACCCAGTACCAACAACAGACCAATGAGGAGGTGAATTTGGTAATGTGTGCGGGTGTGGTAGCCTGCTTACTTACTTACACACTGGCTTCGTATCCTCTACCTGCTGTAACTCATTCACCCCTGAAGACACATTTGAACTCTTCCAATTCAATGGTTGGAAGAGTTCATTTTGAAATTTCAGGGGTGAATGAGTTAATAGTATATATATATTATACCTCATCTAGATAACGGCCTGTCTGATTGGATTATATTGAGTTTCCCCGGTCATATTTCCCTTATTGGGAGACTCTCTAGAGAAATGGGCAAGAGCCACCACAATCAAATTCTGAATGAACAACCATGGTACGTGAACCTGATCATTTTTATTTCTAATGTGAAATTGTTTTATTACGGTTTAATAAATTCTTGATTGCCCTTGTGACAGGGAAATAGGATTCTTTGTCTCCTCAATTAAACAAAGAATCATCTTTCTCTACAAAAAAGGGGATAAATATATAATACTACTATAATAGAGATTGGGTATACTGTATATGGGAAATAATAACATTGAAAAAAATACAGGCAAAGTTAAAAAGACTTGTTAAAAAAAAAATTAAATCATTAAAATATGTCTTGTACCATCGCAAAAATGATTTAAGTATATATATGTATTGTACCAAGTAATTACAATTCATATATATTTTTTCGCAAAATTTGTCCTGTCACATCTGAAGAAATACAAAAATGACATGATATTTATGGTAGATAGTTACATTAAAACACAGGCATAAAGTTTAAAAGAAAATGTTAAACTCATTCACCCCTGAAATTTCATAATGAACTATTCCAACCTTAGATTGGAGGAGTTCAAATGTGTCTTCAGGGGTGAATGAGTGAAGTAGATTTTTTTTTTTTAATAGTGAATAGTATGTTCATAATATTTTAAAAGATCCCTGGTACACTGAAGGCAGTAGAGGATATGATGACAAAGCACTCTGGGATACTGTGACTTTTCTTTTTACTAACATCCTTACTTAATCATCTTACTGTTGTAAATCACATGGTTTTTGTGAGATATTTATTTTCGCAATTTGGTGAGGAGAAACCACTACAAATTCACACAACACTCAAATTTTTAGTTGTTCTCACAGTGTTCTCAATAAGTTTTGAAAAATCAGGTTGATTGACTTGAAAAGAATAGCAGGTTGAATTTTCACGTGTTATAATGTGAACCGATATGCAATCTGATTAAAATCATATCCTACGTTCTCTACGTATCCTACGTTCTCTACATATCCTACGTTCTCTACATATCCTACGTTCTCTACGTATCCTACGTTCTCTACGTATCCTACGTTCTCTAACGTATCCTACGTTCTCTAACGTGATACGTAGAGAACGTAGGATACGTAAAGAACGTAGGATACGTAGAGAACGTAGGATATGATTTTAATCAGATTGAACCAATATGTTATGTATTCTGAAAAAAACAAAGTTGATGAATAGCAGGCTACTTTGCCAGCAACCAGTTTTTAATGAGAACACTGACAGAATTATTAAAAAATATTTTTTAGTGATCTCTGTTCCTTTCTCCTAATTCAAATCCTTGTGAAAGTGTATCGTGGAAAAAAGTATTGATGAAAATAATGTGATTAACAGAAATGTAGTTCTTAGATTTAGAATCATAAGCTACAGCAGAGTCGTTTCAAGCGTAATGTGATATTTGTATTTACAAACCATGTACCATGTAAAAAAATATCCATATTTACAAGTAAAGAAATATCCATATTTACAAACCATGTACCATGTAAAGAAATATCTATATTTACAAACCATGGACCATGTAAAGAAATATTCATATTAACAAACCATGTACCATGTCAAGAAAGAACCATATTTACAAACCATGCACAATGTAAAGAAATATTCATATTAACAAACTGAGTAGACTGAAACAAGCAGAGTAAAGTATCTTGTTCAAGGATACATCACATTGCCATGTCAGGCCTTGAACCTGTAATCCTTCGGTCACGAGCCCTGGGCATCCTACCACAAGACTACAGTGATCATGCCCATGTGATCAGAGACTGTTTCCTAATTATAACAGAACCTTGTTTGTATAGACAGGATATTTAAGGGAAAACATTCCATACAAAGCCAGCATATAGTTGCCATCTTTTTGAAATTTCCAATGTGGACATACCTGGTAAATAAAATGTGCATATTTACATCCTTGGGAAAAATAACACTTTTAAATGACATATTTTAAGCTGCTCTTTCAGATGAAATCATCAGATCTTAAAAATTAGTAACAGTGTAACAAACTCACTGGTTGAAATTGCTCAAGTTTACGGTCCAAAATAGGGAGAGTTGGCAAGTAGGAACGATTAACACTACAGGATTTTGGCAGAATAAATGCCAGTCACGCTATCTATCCTTACGTAAGCTGTCCAGTACTACTGGCAAGCATTACAAGGTTCAATGTCAATTTTATTCAATCAAGTCCTTATATCTTTTCTCTATATATTACTATGTAAAAGTGATTTCTGTTTCAAACATGGAAAAGTTTTCCAGTTGTTTGTCTGTCTGTCTGTTTTCTTTCTTGGTCGTTACAGGAAACACTTATATACAAGAACATGTAAATCGCTGTTCAGGTTTAATTCATGTCGTGTGTCGAAGCTTATCGAAAACCAAGATTTTAAAATGTATCAACTAAGTTTCCGATTCATGTAAATTGATATCTTCAATAAGATTCATCAATTTGGAAACATGATTTTTCAAAGTTTTACTTGATACACAAACAATGAATGTATTAAGGTGGCTCCACACATCGTCATCAGCGTCCATTTTAGTGACGTACTTCCGGAAAAGTACAGCTCGGACTCAATTATCTTGATCGAAATGTGCATGTACAACGTGTCGTCATTTCCGTATTGCGTTTCGGGCATTCAATATCGTAGTGCAAATTATAGTAACACCTGGGCCGTTTTCGGTTAAACCAATCGGACCACTGTTGTTCGTTTATTAAATAAGGTCGGACCTAGTAATCTGATGCTGCTTTCAGGCAAGCCTTGACAATTCCTTGCAAGGTCTGCATACACATTTGCAGGTCCGCAAGGATTTATACCCGAAATTGTTACATTTATAAACGGTCAAACCGGTTGCTCCGCATAAACGAACAGGCCCCTGGTAGACAATAGTACACGTGCGTGCCGATGATATGTCAACACCCGATATCGAGATTTTACCGGGAAATGTATAATCACACATACTTCAGGAATAAAGCTTTCCAATTCATAGACATAAACAGACTCACGGGAAGACAGTGACATGAGACCAGACGACCTCAAGAAGGTCATATAGGAAACGCATAGAATGCGGACATACCGACCTCACATGTGCATATCACGTGCTTACACGAGTTCATAAGCTCGAGGTCGTTACGATTTTCGCTGTTGAGGGAGTTTCGATTAAATCGTGTTTACAAATGTAGTCTACTTACTCTGTGTGAAAATAATGTTTTGTAAAATATCAAGATACCTATGAAATGCATGTGTGAGTGCACGTGAGAACGGCATACCATGCGATAGCCTCTGGTCATATATGTACCTGACATGTAATTATAAATATACCGTGAGTTAGCGGACTGTGGAATGATGTCCAAAGTGTACATGACTGAGGGTAATTTGGTTCCATTAAAGAACAATAAATTGATAATTTTGATATCATATTTTTGATTTATTTCCATCATTTTTGTTATATGTAAACAGAGACAACTGTCATTGTGTAAATGTCACCCCTCTGCAAAAAGTTCCGATTTATTTCAAGGAAGATAACTCTCACCCAGATCAAAGTGATTGTAAAATGTAAAATAAATTAATTATAAAGCCATTGTGTATATTTTGTTCAATTTCCCATTCTATATGTATAGATCTTTGTGTCCTGTTTACTTTTAGCTTGTAGATAATCACTTTTATCCGTACAAATTCAATAAAAAACACTTTGTGTAACATGAGTTACATATTTTGCGATAAATAAAATATTTGTAGGGTTAATAAGAAATGCTTCTTTTCATTTTATTATTGTTGTTATTGTTCCGAACAATGCCACACACACAAAAAACCGGAACATATTAAAATTGACGAAAATTCATTTTTTTTTGTATTTTTTCCAAAAAAGTCCCCAAACTTCCGGAATGTTTAAATTTTCATAAAATCAACTCTACATAGTTGCATAACCATTATATGAAAGTTTCAACAAATTTTGCTGGTTAATTGCGAAAGTGTGGAGCCACCTTAAACGTGTCGCAACATTTCAAGACCGACTGGTCCCTTTGTCAAGCTATGACTGAGTGGTCGCTGATATTACATGTAAATTGATATTTTGTTGGTAATGCAAGGTCACTACCTGGTATCCTGTTTTGTGGCTCTTCGTACATTTGTACTTAATTGTTTGTTTGTTTGGGAACAATTATTCTCTTGGTTATGTTTGAAAATTAACCAGACTTTTTGCACTGATGCACAGGTGTTGGTTAACATTTTCATTGTTTTAAAACAGGTAAATTTTATTTATTCAAATTCACCAAAACACTTACAAATTCAACTAGTTTCTGTTTCAAAACACTTACAAAACTAATTTCTGTTTCAAAACACTTACAAAACTGATTTCTGATTTCTGTGTTTGAACTCATCAACATATTATGCTACCATATTTTCCCCATAATAAACCTGTGCTAATTATTAGGATCACTACATTGGTAGTTCAACACTTTATACAAATTTTGAGTATGCAGTATTCTATGGTATGTGTAGCCGGAGTTTCCTCTGACCCTAACACCAGACTTAGACATTTTGACATATAGATGTCTGGTGTACATGTGGGGCGATAGCGCACTCCTATATGAAAACGTGGAATTCTCTGACACTGTTTAATTTGGTATCGGGGAGTGACTAATCAACAAAAAAGACATTTGTGACTGAATTCAGATTTGTTATGAATGTCCCAAGCAAGTGTTTTAACTTTTTGTGCCAATTAGAAAATTCAAGATGGCCACACAAGTGTCTGATTAGCTGAGACATTTTTCGACTTCTCAAAATCAGCGGCACCAATTGACTCGCAATTTGTTACAAATGTTCCGTATGTGATCCACAACACATGTTCTTACTTTTCATACCAATTTAAAAATTCAAGATGGCCACCCTGGCCTCTGATTGGCTGACAAAGTTTTGACTTCATCTTAGAAATGGCTGCTCTGCTTTACTCCAAACTTGGTACAAATGTCCCTTATGAGTTCACCCAACAAGTGTTCTTAATTTTCGTGCCAATCTGAAAATCAAAGATGGCTACTGTTGCCTCTGATTGGCTGAGACATTTATTATTTGAACTCATGTAAGCATTCATTAAGGCCACTTGGACCTTTTTTGTATGAAAAATAACAAAAAGCTGCAAGAGACCCCAATTATATTACAGATTATGTCTCATATTCCTATGTGTAACAAAGTTTATCACTGGCTTGTGATCTCGCTTTTGTAAGGGCTACTGCTATCATTGTTACTGTGGTAGTTTCAATTCTATTTTGTTCAGTGTTTTGTCAGTAAAACTCAGAACTTAGAATTTGCACAGAAGATTGCATCCAATTACAAATATCTTTTTATGAGAGTAGATTTAGATAAGTGAAATTTTAGTTTTCGTAGCAATATAATTGCAATATATAATCATCTGTGTTTGGTGGAGGTAGACTTGTAAAGATATAATTTTCATAAATTGATTTTGTTTTGTAAAAGAAAATAGAAATATGATTCCATTCAAAATAATTTTGTATTTGCAGAATTATGAAGATATGTTATAATTGAGAAATACATAGATTTTTTTTTTCACAAAGTATCGCAAAAAAATAGACAGGAAGCTTTCACATTACAATATATTTCAATCATGGAACTTTCACTTGTCAAAGTAACACTATACTTACTTACCTATTTTGCAGGATGACCACTTGTCTCAAATGACCAGTCGGCCAGAGCTGACCAGACAGCGGTCAATTATAAACCGTGTGACAGACGAACAAAAGAAGTGGAAGGGGACGGTTCAAGAACAGAGAAAGACAATCTACGACCGCCATGCTCTCCTCAACTAAAACTCAGTCTTCTACGACAGATGTACGCTTTTGTCAACAACAAAAATTTCGTCTCTCATGCTTATGGAGTTCTGATTGACAAGTCAGGATGGTTTCAAGATAACTTTTTTCCGTAAAAGTAGCATATTGTGAACTAGGGGTGGTAATCTTGGTGTGATACACTTGAATCACGATACAATAATATGTGTGGTGATATTTGCTATAGGTTATGATGCCTAGGTACCAAGTTCCACTCTCGCTTACCGTATACGGGGTAAACATTTCGCCAAAGTTTAAATTTCCCCCTTTTCTGATATCCAAAATGAGGGCAAATGCTGTATCATGGCATCGAAAATTGGTGAACGGCATACCATTTACCAGTATAATCTTTACATGTGAAGATCAAAATTAATATTCAGATGAGAGGGGTATAACTGGTGGAGGACGAAAGTTGAATTGGACAAAAAAATACCATCTCCATGTACACTTTATAGTAATTTATTTTGGCGTTGCATGCGACAGGTTGTTGGTAAATTAGTGTTATAAGGTGTCCAGAGGAAAGGGGTTTGTTGATATATATTGAAAGAAAGAAAGAAATTTGGCAATATAAATCGGTTTGTCAATACATTGAAGAAGATGAATACCAGGTAGAGAAAATGGTTTTAAAAAAGGAGAATGGAAGCTTGAAATCAATTGGCATTAATAAGCTAGGTGGTAGATAAAATATATCAAAGTTGTCCTGTAAATGACACAGTATACAAATGCAATGCCATTCTCTTTATGGCTATAGTAGGTGAGGGGAAAAAACACCAACTTGCACATGGAGCCCTTGCATTGATAGTTTGCGCGCCCTACTTTTCCACAGGGTTAACGGAAATGATTGGTTAATGTATAAATTATACAAGAAACTATGTTTCCAAGTGTATTTTAGCTGATTCACCCCTGAAGACACATTTGAACTCTTCCAATTTAAAGGTTGGAATAGTTCATCATGAAATTTTAGGGGTGGATGAGTTAACCAATGTTAGAATTTAGTGCTTTAATTGAGGTAATACTTTCCATTGAAAGATGTTAAAGGAGTTATTATAAGGTTAATGTTGTTTGTTGACAGACCTTAGAATTGGTATATGTTGTATGTTGATATGTCAGAATTTGTTGCTGAAAGGAAGTGAATGATGTATTTTAACCAAGGTTAAAATCAGGCGCTATATATACCGATGTTAGTATTGTCAGGTATGTTAGACGGTGTTCAAAGAGTCTTAAACTTGTGATAAGGTTGTAAGGTAGATATATATATGTAACTGTTGATGTGAACGTGTGTCATAGTGTTGAAAGATATACTTCATTGTATAATTTGTATTTGTTTACTCTCGGTGGCCAAGTGGTTGAGGCGTCTGACATTCTGCTACCACTAGCCCTCCATCACTGGGTCGCGGGTTTGAGGCCTACGTGGGGCAGTTGCCAGATACTGGCCACAGGTCGGTGGTTTTTCTCCAGGAACTCTGGCTTTCCCCCCACCTCAAAACCTTGCACGTCCTTAAATGACCATAGCTGTTAATAGGATGTAAAACACAAACAAACCAAATGTTTACTCTGATGCGAGTCCTTTGTAAGATCAGGGAAAATAATGGTTGAATACAGCCAATAAATTTTAAGTATTACCAAGCTTCAAATTGTGAACTTCAAGGAGCCAACAACTATCTATGCATTGAACTTGTTTTTTTCTGGTGTGACTATAACTTTGCTAAATTGTTTCTGTACAGAAAATTATAATATATGTCACATTTATGGAAAAATAATAAAGCTTAAATAAACAAACAAACAATTCTAAAACAGTGCTCTGAGTGTAAAAATGCAAAGGGGCACGAACAGGATTCGAACACTGGACCTCTTATCATTATACTGTCACTCGAACCAACTGAGCTGTTAGGTCAACAAAGGAGGCCAAGTTTGTTGTGCTACAATTTTAGCCAAAACAAATTTAAAGGGGAGGTAACTATATGCATCTTTGTTGACTTCAATGGAGCTCTTTAGTGTTTTGCCTGTAGAGGGGCAGGGATCCTTAAATTTGATTTTTTTTATCCATTATCATCAAATTAGGGATTCATGTGGAAGACTTGAAATTGCTTTGTTATAATTAAATGTAATAAGTGCATGAAAGAAATTTTTCTCTTTGCGTTAATCCTACTGTGGAATTTTCACGTGTTTTTGCCAAATTTCCCTAATATGTTTGGATTTTGTTTTCATCTGTGAGTTCTAGATTTTGAAATCAGCAGAGTTTCCTACTTTTGCCTTTTTGCTTTCAGTCAATAAACGAATTTCAAAGAAAAGCATGAAATATTGCATTTTACACTATTAGTTCATCCAATGGTAGTCGCCCGTCATTGTAAATACTTTTACTTTAAATCTAGCTCCATTTCCACCAAGGAGGGTGTTAGGAATATATTCTGTACAAATATTAATCAGTTAGATTTTGCCACATTACACCATGAAAGAATGGAAAGGTTGGCAAGTATTTCATTTTACTGAAAACTGTATGAGAAATCTTAACAGAAGCTACCAAAATCCAATAATAATAAAAAATGCTTATATATACAATTACAATTGTGTTTGACATTCCTCAGCATCTATCAGCCACAAAATTCCAGGGGTTAAGCTCTCTTGCGTCCTGTGCACCCCTGCAATATATCATAATGAAATTAAAGGCTCTGTACCGTCCCCTTGTGGATGATACATGTGTAACATGTACATCAAAAGAATCGAGTAGTAGCGTAACGGTAAAATTGACTGGCTTAGACGTCGGGTGTTGCTCCTCTGTAATCTTCAAAGGACAGGTATCAGCCTAGTGATTGGTTAGTGTTTTTTTTACATGAAACCAATCAAACAGTTAACTGCCATGCCTTTTATTTTGTCATATTCCAGGGATTCATAGAATTTAAGTGAGTGTTTCTCCTGAATTTTGAGGGTGCATCATCTGTATATCCAGGGCCAATTTGTTGAAAGCCTGATTTCTTTAATGGTTGAATTTGGAGAAATACCGAAAATATCATGTTTTCCATAGGAATACATTATTCCTGTTTCCGATCAGGGAAACACTTGCCTGGAACTATGATGTCACAATGGAAGATGATGTCACAAAGTATTGTTACTTGATGTCATAATTAGAAGACTTCAATTAAATAACGTCCAGGGTGTTGCTCACTGGTGAGTTACCAAATATGTTTACTAACTTCTAGCAGGTTAATTTAATGAGTCTGGAGTGAGGAAACCTCAATGGTTGTGGGAGAAAAAGATGTTCTTTATTTCCTGTCTGTAGATGATAATTTGAATTTCTATAAATAGTCTTTGTTTTGAATTTGAATTTCTGGGTTTTTTTGTCATATTTACTGGATGGGAAATTTTGCGTTGATATATTATTGAGTAAAACAGGCTTTCAACAATTTGGCCAATATGGTATCAAGCCTTGCAAGCTTACAGTACATTTGATTGAATCGTGAGACTTGAAAATCATGTTATTCGTGTGTAAATACTTTCAAAGATTTCTATCTGTGATATTTCTGTTTGTTTTTGTTTGTATATTTTTTGTGTTTATATAAATTACATTTCTTACAGCTGGTGGATTGCTTTTTTCCCAAAACCATTCATTGTACAGTGTACTTCCTTTTTTTCCCCCATAAATTAATTTTGAGACATATTCGGATTTCAAAACACATTGTGCCAGTATAATATCGGAATTTTTTTTACGACAAATTAGATCTCCAAATGATTTTTTTTTCGCATATAACATATTGGTTTCCAATATAAAATGCTCTTGCCATATATTGTTTCATGATACAAATCGTTTTAAAAGTACAATTTTTATAGATGTGAATACAAAATGTATATTTATTTAAAAGATTGTGTGACTGATTGATCATGTTAGTTGTTTTTGTTACATTTTTCCAGAATTTTCAATATATTTATCCTTTCACTGTAACTTATAATCATAAAACCTCCCGATTTTCTTTACAATATCTATTGTTTATGTACCCATTGTGTAGCTTGTGTGCCTCAATTTTTATTTTTTTTAAGAGTAGAAAAATAAAGTTTTATAATGACACCAGTACATGTTTATGGAAAAACACATAAAACATTTAGCTTCCGTTTCAGATATGTGTCCAATTTTGCAAGTTCGAGATCTGTCCTCCATCTGCTCGCATTCTATAACTAATGATAGGGGGAGGTAAAACAAGTTGTTTATAGTAATTACCTGCCCAAGTTGCTCTAAGGTTAGTTAACTTTAACCAGTGGTTTGTGAAACATTACAATTGATGCCACAAAAATATAAGGAGCTTTCGAAGCAAAATAAATCCTCAAAACACATCAATCTGATCTGTCTATACAGTTCTATACCAGTGAAATGATGTCAAAATTAATTAATTAATTAAAATTTTCCCGTACCCCTGGTTCACTCTAACTAACCTTTGATCACTGGGGCCTGAAAGTTCCCATCATCACCCCTGCCCGGCTTGGCACCTAGTGGTATTCACAGGCTCATTAACTGATAATGTATCGAACCTGGCTTTGTTTAATCCTATCACCACTATAGACCATAATGGATTCATCCAGATGAATGCATGGTAGAGTCTACAGAAGTAATGTAGGGGTGAAAGGGTTAATTTCACGTTAAATCTGTCTTGTTTCTACTGTCTTCTCACCTGCATTGTGGACTTAGTTTTTTTTTATTTCACAACGGTTGGTCAGGTGGCATAGTGGATAGTGTTTTGTCATGATATTATATATAACTAGAGAGATAGTGATCATTATCAAATGCCTTGTGAAACATATTTAGTTTTTGTTCAATAATTTCTAGATCAAACAAGAAACAGTGATATGATGTTGGTGTGTCTAAACATTAGTGAATCCAGTACATGTATGTATTTTTCAGTGACATGTATGTATTTTTCAGTATAAATGTATGTATTTTTCAGTGGACATGTATGTTTTTTTCAGTGGACATGTATGTATTTTTCAGTGTATATGTATGTATTTTCAGTGTACATGTATGTATGAAATAAAATATCAGAAAAACAAATTCTGTTAGTTTTGTTCTTTAATCTTGTTTTATTCTCACAATTTGGAACATAATTTTCACCAATCGAGAGGGGTGGCTACAATATCGTGCAATATTTGTCTGGCAATGTACATTACAATATGATGTTGAAATGGCAATAAATAAATACTTTCAAATAATTTTCGGGATTTTAATTGAGGTTATAATATGATTTAAAGGAATTAATGCTAAAATTTGATATAATCACAATTACCGTACACTTGTTTGGTTTGATAATGTTTGTCAGGCAAGGCAGGGTGTTAAAAATATATACTCGGTTCGTATGCCCAAGGTCAAGGTCACATTAAGGTCAAATAAGTTTAGAGATAAATGTTGGATAATGAAGTGGTATGTTGCAAAAAACAATGAGTCTGTATACCAAAGTCAAGGTCAAATTGAGGTCAGAGGTCAATTACATTTTCCAGGGAATAGCTTCTGAATTTCTTAGATGACTCAATGAAATTTTAGAGAAAAACAGGTATGTGGGATGAACAGTGTGTCACATACAACTATTGGGTCTGTATGTGTAAGGTCAAGGTCACGTTGATGACATTTTTGCGGAGTTTTATAATATCCATCAGTTTTACTGATTTTCTTGTTTCTATTTAAACTGATTAGGAGTACATGAATTTCTAGGAAAACATTATATTGCCAACATTTAGTGGAACATACCCTCGGCTATCAAAGGAAAATGTTAATAATTTAATGTAAAAAAGAAAAAAGCACAAACACATCATAGGATTCAGCATCTGATTTCTTCATTCCGATTCAGTGAACATCCTTAACATAACAGTTGTCACAGTTGGGTTAATGATGATGAATAAAGAGAAAATCATATGACATTTATTGCACCAATGAACGGTTTGAAATCAAGGTGAATGTTGGGATAGTTTTGATATCCATGGAGACATCATACAAAGAATGATACCAACATGTAAGAAACCTTACCAATAGTTACATACAAGCAAACAGCATTGCCAATATTCAGAACGTAAAGTTTGGGTGTTACGTCCTATTAACAGCTATGGTCATTTAAGGACGCCTCAAGAGTCTGGTAGTGGAGGAAAGCCAGAGTACCTGTAGAAAAACCACCGACCTATGGCCAGTACCTGGCGACTGCCCCACGTAGGCCTCGAACCACGACCTAGTGGTGGATTGCTAGTGGTAGCAGAATGTCAGACGCCTTAACCACTTGGCCACCTTGTCCCACTCCTTTTTTTTGTATGTTGAAAATGCTCAAACGCGACAATATGCTGAGGAAAATATTTAAATTCTTTAGTCCTCCATCGAAAAACACAAATATTTTCGTGTTACGAATTATCTTGAGATA